ACCACAAATCCTTGATGTCGAAAGATCTGGACTCTGGTAAAAATCCAATTTGATAGGTTCCACCTTCCTGCCTTGCACGAGTCCCTGGAAGGTTTATTGAAACGGACCGGAAGATGGATGTGGTGTGGGCGCCTTCACATCTCCAGCACTACCCGCGGCGGGGAGGAGGCTGAGGCAGCCGCCACAGCAGCAAGAGACAGAGCCAGCGGGAAGGAAGGGGCTGGCCGGGCAGAGGCTGGACCAGGCCTCCCGCCCTGCGATCTGGGAGGCGGGCCTTGGGGGAGCACCCGAGCACGAGCGAGCGGGCCTCCGGGAGTCCCGCACCCCCCTGCACATCTGCAGAGACACAGCCGGACGGGAGGCAGAGCCGTGCGCAGCAGAGCCAGCCACGGCCCCGCGCCCCAGCGGGCTGAATCCTATAAACAAGATTACCACCCCCATTAGATCTTTGCTGAGAAGGGAGAGTGACCTCCCCGTGGAGGTGCCATCAGGCTTTTTTCAAGCTTCCAGAGAGGAAGCGGCCGTGACAACAAAGCCTCTCAGCCCCAGCCTGGACCCACAGTGCCCCCTTGTGGGAGTGAGCGTGCTCGTCCAGCAGTTCCTGCCAGGAAGGACCCCACAGACCAGCCCCCACCGCCCTCTCTTGCGTCCTCCCCTCCCCTCGCCTAGCTCCTGGGACTCGGGCAGGAAAGGGGTTTGCCTTGAGCCCTGTTGTCCCCGGTTCAATTCCCAGCACCACCAAGGGTACCCCCAGCCCCGGCGGCGTGACCCCTGAGCAGAGGTGATGAGGGCCACGGATTGTGCCCCAGCACACCGCCCACCCCCCAACACAAACAGGTCACTGGTGTCCGTGTCACTGATTTCCTACATCTGGGGTACAGCCTTTCTATCTCTTTGATTTGGGGGAGATACTCGGCAGTGCTCAGAGTTTACTCATACAACGCATGAACTTCATGTGGACAGGGGAAAACGGAGGCCCGTCCCATCGTAAAGTCAGAAACGAGGCTCCCAGCCCAGCCCTTTCCCTCCCTGTCCAGGGTGCTGTGGGCTCTGGGCTGCGTGGTCGCATCTCGCCGACTCCTCCTGCCGCACAGACCCTCTAGCATGCGTGATGAACAGTCCCGCTGCTTGTGTCACCCCTGCAGCGGAATTCAGCAGCTGACAAGGACACTCGGGCACAGCTAGGTCTCCAGCATCTCCTTTGATTCAGTGAACACTGCCCAGGAAAAACCCTTTGCCGGGCACCAAGGGCCTCCCTGGCCAGTTCCTGGGTTTTCACGGGGCATTTCCCACGGGGATATTGCGCTTGATGATGAGTTTCAGGTGATACGTGTTCGTGCTCAGGGCTGACCCCTGGCTCTGTGCTCAAGGATCGTTCCTGGCAGGGCTTGGGAGCCTACAGTATTCCAGGGATCGCAACGGGCTGGCTGCATGCAAGCCTGCATGCAAGTCCCTCCAGCCCACGGGAACTCAGGCGCTCCCAGGCAGGCTGTGGGCGCTGTGTCAGAGTCCTCGCAGGAAGCTGGGGGGTGGGGAAGCTCACGATGACCAGTGGGAAGGTCTGTCCCCTCGTGCTCCAGGCACAGACAAAGCCGCGACCTGGAGTCTACTCGGACATGGCACTGCTCTGGCAAAGTGCTTGGTGCAGCTCTCCCGGAAGCGTCCCCACCTCCTCTCCCAGCTCTCAGGGTCAGAGGCCTTCCCCGCCCCGAGCCTTCCCTTCGGATTGCTCCCTGAAGTTACACAGCCTGCTGCTCCCTGGGGGGTCAGCCCAGCCAGGAAGCTGTGGCTAAGCTGCATGAGGCCCTTTGAGGGTAGGACACGGCCTGCCTCCAGCTTCTAGAACAGAAGTGGGAGGAGTGCACGGCTCGGGCAATGGGTACTTGGGGGGCAAGTCACTGAGAATCCTGGATGAGCACGCAGGCCCAAAGAAACAGTTGCTTGTAACTCCCGAGCTCCCGGGACTGAAGAAATGCACAGATGACTCTGGGGCCAGGCTAGTGCGTATCCCACTGCGGCCAGCTGCTGACTGGCCAGGGAGCCGGGTCTCCTGGGTGACCGTAGATTAGAGACAGTTGTTTATACTCAGCTCCACCAGAGTAGATGTGTTTAAGTGCTGTCTCGACAGGGAGCCCAAAATAATCAACTGGCGGGTGAGAAGGAAGAGCAGACACTTGCAGCCTGATTACACGGGCTCCCGCGGGCAGACGGCGCTCCCGGGAGCGGCACTGCACGCTGCAGGGCACCCAGTCCTCCCGACACAGCGCCTGCTCCGGGAAGGATGCAGATTGGACGCCTGCCGGGGACCAGCTCCACAGGCTCCCCCCGAGCACAGAGCCAGGCCCTGAGCAATGGACCCTGAGCAGTCGGGTGTGACCCACAAGCTGCTGTATAGAGAACATAGCCCACAAGGGTGGAGGGGCAGGTCGGCCCTTCTGCCTCGACTGCCCTGTCTGCTTGGCGCTTTTACAGAAGCTCTTTCAAAGCCTGTTGCCCGCCAAGTCTGGTGACTGTTAGGGCCTGAAAGTGCTGAATCCCCAAGAATCCTCTAGTTCAATAGCTCAATTGTCCACGATTCAGGACCAGTTCCTGCTGGCCCTTGCTTCCTGCCAGTTGCTTAGCACTCGGGATTTCAGCCTCGAGTCAGGTCGGCGGAACAGCAGCGTCTGGGAGGCCCCATTTATGGAGAAGTTCAAGGCTGGGGAGCTGGCTGGTGTGTGAAGCCTGGAACTCAGTCTCCAGTACCATACTGCACCCCCACGGCCCCAGAGTAGAGACAGTGGTCCTCACTCTCAGGCCCATATTGCCAGAAACGGCCCCTCCCCAGCTGAGCAGGGACCCTGTGGAAGAACAGAAAGAGGTGCTGGGGCAACAGGACAGCAGGAAGGGCGCTGGCCTTGACACTATCCCCGGCACCTGATATGGCCCCGAGCCCCACCAGAAATGATCCAGGAGAAAGCCGGGAGAAATCCCTGAGCACCTCTGCCTGTGGCCCCCAAACAAAAAGTAACAAAATTGAAAGCAAGTTAGGGCCAGAGAGATAGTAAAGCAGGCAGGGAACTTGTCTTGTGGCAGACCCGGGTTCGATGGCTGGTAGCACATATGGTCCCCAAGCCCCACCAGGAGTGATCCCCAAGTGCAGAGCCAGGAGTAAGCCCCAAGTGAACCCAACCAGAAGACCCTGGCCCCAACCTCCCCACCGTGCTGGGAGCGTGGAGGGGACAGCAAGGGTACAGGGTGGCTGTGGGGTAGCAGGGCGCCCAGGAAGCTCGTCCCGGGCACAAGACCGGCCCCCTGGCAGCCGAGCCTTTCTTCCTCCTGGGTCAAGAGGCCAGAGACACGGACTTTTATGAAAAAAAGCTCACCAATGTTTCCAACCAAGCACACAGCTGAGACCACCACATTAGCTTCCCCAACATTCAACCCAAACAGTTCCTGGACAAGCGGGCCAAGCCAGGGCTGATCACGGTTCTCCTGGCCAAAAAGGCGACATCCAAATGAAGGTCAGGTCCGCCCTCCCTGGCCCTCCTCGGAGGCAGATGGGACTCCAGCCCTCAGGCTCCCAGCTGCTGTAGCCTCCGCTCTGCAGCCCAGGAGTCCCTGAGCACCATCTCCAGCCCACCTCCCATCCTCGCAGGCCTGCCCTTATGCCCTGCACATCACAGCTGTTTCAGCAAGATGAACTTCAACACAAGACTTTGGGGACCCCACTGACGGCCAGTGGCAAGGCCATTCATTTAAACGGCTCCTCCAGGCTACCACCCGCTGGCCCTCTGGGTGGTACTGGTGGCTTCGGTCCTGTGGCTCTGCCCCAATCAGCAGACTGAGCTGCCTGGAGCCCGGGAACCAAAAGCACAGCAGGAACGGAGCAGCCCCACTGTCCTCTCCAGCCCTGGCCTCCAGGCTGCTCAGGCCACCCAGGTGTTCCTGTCCTGAGGGGGTCCCAAAGTTTGCCACCCACAGATGCAGCTGAATGTGCCACCAGTTCCAGGGGCAATAAACATCCCTGGGCAACAAGCGTAGGAAGGCAGGCAGCATTTGGCCCTGGACAGAGCCAACCCAGTTTGGATTCCCCACAAGGCAAGATACAAACCAAAACCAAAAAAAAAAAAATTGCCCCAGCCTGTCAGGTCTTCACACGCTGACAGTTATTTCCTGTGCTGAAGGGCACCTTGGCTTCTGCTAGAATTCCAACAGCTTGGTTTGGATTCCCCACATAGCAGGAAGTACACACGCACACACACCCCCCACACGGCAGCAAGAAAAAGTATGTGTACACACGCACACACGTTACTTCCTGTCCTGAAAGGGCACCCTGGCTCCTGCTGTAATTCCAACAGCGCACCTGATGAGAATCATGGGGCCCTCACAGAATGCATGACAATGACAACCCACCTGATTGAGAAGAAGCAGACTTGCCCTTTTCTCACACACCGTCAGCAGATGCACCCACACTGAACAGGTCTTTGGCCCCCTTTCTGAAAGAACTTCCCAGTGACCCCCTGGACATGGAAACACGGCAGGCTTGAAGGCGGCATGGCCGGCTCTGCCACGAGGTCCAACAGCATGAACTACAATGCAGGTACCCAACGACCTGGGCAGGCCCTAATATTTCAGGAAAAAGTACTTCACGATGAAAAATACCACATACAAAAAATAATAAATTGAAAAGTAAAAAATAAAAATGTCACGTACGCTAATTTTACTTCCCACTGAGGTCAACAAGTTTTTTCTATGACAAGGACTGAGCAGATCTGTGGAAGACCAGAATGGAATTCAGATTTCACAATCCCGTTCCATGCGGCCCGACACACTGCTGAAGTAGCCAGGCCCACCAGCCCCTCTCACCTCCCTGCATCTTCGCTGACAGGCACCAACCCATCGTGCCAACATTCACAGATCCTGGACTCAACATGAACCGTCTGAAGCTGCTTGAAGAACAAACTAGTTTTTTAACACTCCCAGAAAACTCCAAATATACGTCAAACAACCAGGTAACATTGTTTTAATTAAAATTTATTAATCCTCGTGAAAAAAATCTGCACAATCACCAGATAGTCTCTGCAGAATCTTTACTCCTTCTGTGAATCAAACAAAAAAAAAATTAAATCAGCAAACGTCTTAACTCTTTAAAATACCAAAGTTCAAAGTCTTCAACAAATTCCAAAATGAGTAACATTCATGCAGAACAATATTAGTGATGCTGGAATGGTGTTAACATTCATGGGAACATTCATGGGATGGTAACAATGTGAAAGACAAATGAAAACACAAACATTCAAGTTAGGAATGAATAATCTACGTCACTATTAGTACATAAGAGGCTACAGACGACTCTATTCTACTCTGAAGTGTTTCACATGCTCTACGTTTAAGTTACTGCTATCAGTTAGCTAAGTCTTAGAGGTCTACAATGAAAAGCTTGAATGATACCTGTTCTTCAATCTCCAGATCACTGATTCAGTGGTGGGGGAGGGGGGAGGCAAAAGAAACATTTCGTTATTAGTCCCCTTTCAAATCCAGAACCATCTCAGCATGCAGTCGGGCCAAAGAGGCCGGTCTGCCCTGACCGAAGGCGACTCATCCCTCCTAGCTGCTCACTACGGTCTCCGTGGAAAGGTGGCGAGAAGACACCTCTAAGCTAGGGACGGCCCGGCGATAAAATGCGCGCCCGAGTCTGCCCTCCTCTGCTCTGCAGACCAGCGGGTGTGCGGAGCCACTTCCACAAAGGAAGCCGCGAACTCGGTCCCACCCCATCCCACAGAACCACAGCCCGCCACTCCTGCATCCTCAACGGAGGGCAGGGATGAGCAAGTCCCACGCAGCTGGTTTCTGCTCAACGCTTTGTCAACATTCAGTCCCCGGTATTTCTAAAGGCAGAAATGAGCTCGAGTAAAAAACGCTCCTTGGCTCTTCAAATCAGATGCGTTTCCTCCTCAACCTTCCTGCTACACCCAACAGAGGCACGTAACAGTTCCAAAAACTCCAAACAAAAACTCATTTGTTTTCTGGGGCCAAATCTGGCGGGCCAATCAGGGGATGCTATGGGATGTCCAGGAGAGAACCAGGGTAGGTTATGAACAAGGCAAGTGCCCTGCACACAACCCTAGAGTGACTTCGGGCCTCAGACAGCCCAGGCCCTGCCCCCCCACTCGGGAAGTCCTCACAAGGACCGGGGACCACCAACACACAACCCAAACAGCAGGTCAAGTGTGAAATGTCCCCAAGCCAAGTCCGAAGATCTCTGGAACTTGTCTGCAGGTCAGAGCCCCAGAAGTGTCATGACCAGGAAATGGTTCCTAGGGGCAGCATGCTAAAGGACACTGAACCACCTCTGCTTCACAACCCCAGCACACTCAGTCCCTCCCAACGCCAGTGGTAAGGCTGCCCAAAACAAGTAAGTACAAAATACTTATAAGGCTGCCCAAGATAAGTACAAAAAATGTGTTTCACGAGACAAACATTCCGAACAGCTGCGGAGAAAGTTCCCAGGAGTTTCCTGCTAAGAGGAGGGAAGAGGGACGCTGAAGAGCACAGGCAAAGGAGGCGCTAAGGGCCTGGCACCACTCTGGCCTCGCATGCACTCAGGCCTGTTCCAGCCCTGGCACCAGAGTCCCAGCCAGCAGCACTGCTGGACTCGGGCACTGAACCTCTGGCGTTGCTCCCCCCATCACTGCCTGGGCGGTCTCCCCCTCAGAAATAAAGAGGAGGGTCCTCTCCGTGTAGATGCTGCCAGGCCTGACTTCCTGGATAAACCTCCACGTTACCACCGGAACCACCCCGCTGAGTGATCAGGGTACCCAGGGGAGAGAGTGCAGGACAGGAACCCCTCCCGAGTCCTGCTGTGACTAAAGCCACCCCACGCCAGGCACCCCTCGGCACTCAAGGTGACCCCATCTTCCTCCACTCACCACTTCACCACATAACACTGACATGCACTGTGCGCTTCCAAAAGCAGTGTCATCAAGACTCCCTTCACTCACGTACAGTATGTTCAAAGATAGCACAGTACCATAGTGGAACATACACTGTAAAACCGCCCAAAAATCAACATGCAGAGCATCAAAGCAAACTCAGTGAAGTTGATGCATCCCCACACCGTGCTCGAATCTCAGTACCTGCCAGACACTTCATTTCTGATGAACAAGAAATCCAAGAAAGTAGAAGAAAAAGGGCAAAAAAAGGGCACAGAACACTTGATTATTTGTTAATTTAACAACCCACTGCCTTAATTCAACTATTTACAATTAGCTAGCAAAGCTGGTCAAGAGCTGCTCGTGGTTAAACTCCCCAGTCCTGGCCCGCTGGAGAGGAGCAGCGGGCATCGCGCTGCCTCTCCAGGGCGCCGAGCACACGGGCCACATTGATTCCACCGCTTTCTTAAGCCACTTTGTCCATGTAAGGAAAAGCTTGGGAACGAGGTCCCAAACCAAGACTCTGCTAATTAGCAGCAAAATGCACTTTTCCTGGAGGGGCCCTAGCAGCCCCCAGGCGCGGCACCAATGTGGCCCCCTCTGCGCTGCAGGGAGAGCGTGGGTGGGTGGGTGGGTGGGTGGGTGGGTGGGCGCAAAGCTCCTGTGCTACTCTACTCGGTGGGCGAGCTACTCTACTGAGCTGATCAAAATACGTCACGGGGTTTCTCCAAACGTTACCTTCTGCACGCCAGAAGATGTGGGGAAAGAAATATTAAGAAAAGTCATTAACAACGTCCGTTTCTGGAAAGCAAAGAACTGTACCAGCATATCTGTTCTCAGTGACCCGTACCTTTTTCCCAGCGCCAACGTTGGCCTTGGCGGTCCCCCTGACTTTCTTCATTCTGTTCTTGCGTTCCTTTCTCTGTTTGCGTGAGGTCTTTTTCTTCTCATACAGGCCATGCTAACGGAAAAAAGGGGAGAAGTCAGTCGGGATTTCAAATCATTGCTCATGCATCTGGGCAGAAACCAACTCCACGGGTGCAGAAAGCAAGCACCGTCCCGAACGAAAGGAAGAAACACACTCAGAACTTGAACTAGAGTGAAAAACGGCCACCAAGCCGGGCAGCATGTCCGGAAAACCCAACATTCATTTATACACGCCAAGTTCAAGAGGACTGACTGCGACTGTCCACTGTGGGCCAAAGGTCACTAGGTCCCCACAGTCGACTTCCCTTTGGGGTGTCCTGCCATGGCACTGTGACCCTGTCAATGACAGGCCACCAACCACAGCCCAGAAATCGCTCTGCTCTACCCGCCACCTGGTCAGCCTCTGTGGCTCCTGCTACCGTCGCGAGACCAGAGCGACATTCTAGAGCATTTGTGAGAATGTTCTTCACCAGGGTGGCCCCTGCCTCACCGGCACCCTCCAGGTGTACCCGCCAACAGGATTCCCACCCGAGCAATGGCTGGCAGCTGTACTGCAGAGGGTGAAGCAGGAAAAGACTGCCCTCCAGTCGGCACCCGCAACACGGCCAAATACCACCCAGCAGCTCACCACCTGTGAACAGAGTTCCAACCCCGGGCCATGTCTCAAGGCATCACTTAATTTAACTTCGTGCCACCCTTCCAAAGGCCTCACCACCGCCGTCTCCCCTGGTCCGACCCCTGGTCCAAGCAACTGGCCAAGGACCCCCTCTGAACACTTACCAAACCTTCTCGCCCCTTCCAAGGGTCTGTGGCTTGGCAGCCCCTCCCAGACCGGCTTGCCCGGGGGGACAAGACCACCCCTTTTTCTTTCTTCCTGAGGCCAGTCGCCAAGCAGCAGCGACGAGCGACAGGCAGGAGCGACTTACCCGTGCCAGCCTGTGTTTGGGCTCGTTCTTCTTGGCGTGATCCAGAGAGTCGTAAATCATGCCAAAGCCCGTCGTCTTGCCGCCGCCAAAATGGGTCCGGAAGCCAAACACGAAGATGACGTCTGGCGTGGTCTTGTACATCTTGGCCAGCTTCTCTCGGATCTCGGTCTTGGGTACCGTGGCCTTCCCGGGGTGAAGGACATCGATGACCTGGAAGGGATGAGAAACCCCCCAGCTCGAACCAGCCGCACCTTCGGAGCGCGGAGCGGACGTGCAGCACCCCGGGGCTCGGTACAGCGCCCCAGCAGCAAAAACCACGCCGAGAGCGTGGACGGGACCCCTGCAACCAAACCAGCCCATGGACGGGGACCCCCCCCCCCCCGCGCCCGGGGCCACCCGAGCTCACCATCTGCTTGCGCTGCAGCAGCCGGTTGGTCATGAACTTCCTGGTGCGGATGGTGACCGTGTCGTTCTGGAAGATTCACACCGAGTTAGCCCCGAGCCCGCGGCGCGGTGCAGCCCGCCAGGACCTCGCACCCGGGGGGCGCGCCCGACGCTCGGCCCCGCGCCCTGGCCGCGCGCTCGGTCCCCGCAGCCGGGGCGGCGGCAGGAACCGGGGTCGGGCCCGGCGCGGCGCGGCACGGCCATCCCCGCGGCCGCCCGGAGCCGCCCGCCGCGCCGCCGTGCCCTGAGCCCGGGCGTCCGCCCAGCGGGCCCGAGCGCGAGGAGCGGGGCCCCCGGGCGGCCCGGGGCCGGGCGGCGAGGCCGGCGGGCGGAGGATGGCGCGGATAGACGGCGGATGGCGCGGCGCTGCGCGGAGACTCACCATGATGGCGGCGCGGCTGCGGGAGGCCAGGGAGGAAGAGGCCGCCGCCGGCGCCGGCCAATCATATCAACGCGCCGAAGGACCCCGGCGCCGCCGCGTGGGGGCGGGGCCCGAGCGTCGGGGCCGACCGCGACAGTGCCTGGCTAAAAAGCCAGAGGGCGCGAGATCGCGCGGGGAAGGCGAGAATCCCGCGGGGAGAGCGCGAGGATCGCGCGGGGCGAGCGAGAGTCGCGCGGGAGGTGCGCGAGAGTCGCGCGGGGCGGTCGCAGCGCGGTGCCTTGGCGCAGCAGGCAAGAGGCGCCTGCCGGGTCCGACCCCAGATCCCGTCCCTCGAGCGCCGCGGGGGCGAGGCCAGAGCAGCCTCGGGTGTGGCCCAGAAAAGGCGACAAAAACCACGAGCCACGGGCTGGAGCGATAGCACAGCGGGTAGGGCGTTTGCCTTGCACGCGGCCCACCCGGGTTCGAGTCCCAGCATCCCACATGGTCCCCTGAGCACCGGCAGGGGTAATTCCTGAGTGCAGAGCCGGGAGGAACCCCTGTGCATCGCTGGGTGTTACCCAAAAAGCAGGAAAAACAACAGAAACCCAAAAAAACGAGCCACGTGTGGGCTGTCGTAGGCTGCGGTCCACCACCAAAGAACAGCTCGCTGCCCCGCTCCTCAGCGGCCCCCGCAGCCCCGACCCGGGGCCGCCTAAGTTTACAGAAGCCAATGCAAATCAGTGTTACTCGATTCAGGAAGCCCCCCACGTCAGGACAGCTTCTGGGAAGTGATAAGCCCCAGTGCTAGTGGGACCCACCGTGTGCATACAGAAAGCGACTCTGGAGACTGGACCCCTTCCTAGAGAAAGGGCCTGATGGAAGGACCCTCAATCCCTCCTCTGATCCCTTAATTAAATCCTTCCTTCAATCTGACTAACCCTCAGCCAGCCCAGACAAGAGAAGATACTGCAGGGGCAAAGGCAAAAGAAAGAAGTTTCTGCGACTGGAAGCGATAGCACAGTGGGTAGGGCATTTGCCTTGCATACAGCCCACCTGGGTTTGGTTCCCAGCATCCCACAGGGTCCCGTGAGCACAGCCAGGAGTAATTCCTGAGTGCAGAGCCAGGAGTAACCCCAGTGCATCACCAGGTGTGACCCAAAAAGAAAAATTTTTTTTAAAAAAAGGAGTTTTCATGGCACATCACAGTGGAAGACTATGAAGTCATGAAATTCGCCTATAAATGGATGGACAAGGAGAGTTTTGCCCCGCGTGAAATGAATCAGGAGAGGGACGGGTATAGAAAGACTGCATTCATTTATTTGTGGTTTATATGTAGCACTGTGGCACTGTCCTCCCGGTGTTCATTCATTTGCTCGAGCGGGCACACAAATTGTGAGACTTGTTACTGTTTTTAGCATATCGAATACATCACGGGTAGCTTGCCAGGCTTTGCCATGTGGGCAAGCCGTGTGGGCAAGATACTCTCAGTAGCTTGCCGGGCCCTCCGAGAGGGGCGGAGGAATCGAATCTGGATCTGCTGCATGCAAGGCAAATGCCTTACCCATTGTGCTATCGCTCCATATGTATGTGTGTATATGGTAGAAGGATAATATCCATGGCCAGGGAAAACAGGGATTAGGAGGACTGGTAGGAACTAACCACAAGTGTGTGGGGGGCTGAGGGTAGGTATGACAATAATAGCTGGGAATGATCACACTGGACTAGAGCTGAAGGTTAGAAGTAGGTACAGAATATTCTGGATAACCTTTCAGTATCAGTATTACAAACCATAGTGCCCAAAAGGAGAGAGAGAAGAGGGAGAGGAGGCAAGAGAGAGAGAGAGAGAGAGAGAGTGAGTTTCTCCAGGGGTTACTCCTGGCTCTGCACTCAGGAATTACTCCTGGCAGTGCTCGCGGGACCCTGCATCTGACATAGAGGCAGGCAGGGGCGGGGGAGGGATGGGAGGGAACCAGCGTACACTGGTGCTGGGAAATGTGCACTGGTAGAGGGATGGGTGTTGAAATACTGTATGACTGAAATCCAATTATGAACAGCTTTTTTTTTTAAAAAAAAAAGGGGGGGGAATGGTATCTCACAAAGCTGTCACATATCAGAGGCAATAAAAAGATTACTAAAATAAAAAAGAGAAAACAAGTTTCAAAGAAGACCACTCCCAGTGCCGCCCACTTAGCAACAACTGACTCTTACCTAGCTAGAAAGCCCCATGTGAGGGCAGCTTGGGAAAACCCTATAAAAACCACCTTGAACAAAGGGAGGGTGTGAATATATTGCCCGAGCCCATGTGCTGCTTTCGTGCCCATTGGCCGAGCACAAGTGGCGCCTGAGCACATGTGTCTCCCGCATCTCCCCTCTTGAGATGTGGACTTTCGTGTGCTTCGTATCTGATGCTGGGGGTGCGTAGGGGCTCTCTCCACCCTTGGAGAAGCCTGCGTTCTCCCTTGAGTGCGTTACTCTCTCGCTTCCCTTCCTCGCGTTCAAAAAAACCTCTAAATAAAATCTGTTTTACTTCACTGCTCAACTACTCCTGAAATTCTTTTCTGTGACCTGGCAAGCTCCCCATTGCATATTCGATATGCCAAACACAGTAACAAAAAGTCTCACAATGGAGATGTTACTGGGCCCGCTCCAGCAAATCAATGAACAACGGGAGGACAGTGCTACAGAGGTGACACAAGAACCCTGTAACCCTGGGTAAGGCCTGGGACTGACTTTCCTTTCCTGCATAGAGCAAATCCTAGTCCCAGCCTGAGTCTGTGACTCCTGAGAAATCAGGTGTCAGGGATCAACTGTGTTGAGAGGACCAAGCGGACATCAGTTGTGGCCTGGTGGCCACCTGGTGGGTCTGACAAGACTCTGGTCGGTGCTGAGCAGGGGCTCTCATAGACTTTATTAGTCCTAGTTTTCCCAGCTGGGTCTCAGGGTGGCAGAGGTGGATTGGGAAAAAGTGACCGCCTCTGTCTTCCCCATGCCACATGAGGTACCCATGGGGCTCACCAACATCAATTTCTTTTCGACTGTCCAAAAGTGCAGCCCCCTCTCCTTCCCTATGGTTCCACAAGCACTGCAGGAGTGATCCCTCAGCACGAAGCCAGGAGCAAGCCCTGAACACAGCTCGGTAAGTCCCAAACCCAGAAGAAAACAAAGCAAAGATTTAAAATAAAAAACTTTTGAAAACAAAGACCTTTTGGTTGTAGGAATGTGGTGTGCGGCCCAGCAGTTGAGGGCATGCTCACAGATCGCCGCAGCTGGATTTGATTATGTGATTCCCAGCACACTCAGTATTCTTTTGCCAAAAAATAAATAAATAAACAAAAACAAGGCCTTATTGAAGACTGAAACTCCTTACCAAACAGAAGCTTCATTAACCAAGAAATGTGTTGGTTACCCCTAGCGGTGCTCAGGGGACCAAATGGGATGCTGGGAATCGAACCCCGGGTTGGCCGCGTGCAAGGCAAACGCCCTACCCGCTGTGCTATCGCTCCAGCCTCAGAATGTTTATTTTAAGAAAGTATTTTTTGTGTTACTGTACATGATGGGCTGGAGCCCGGCAAGCTACCGAGAGTATCTCGCCCGCACGGCAGAGCCTGGCAAGCCACCCGTATTTGATATGTATTTGATATGCCAAAAACACAGTAACAACAAGTCTCACGATGGAGACGTTATTAGGCCCGCTCGAGCAAATCGCTGAACAATGGGAGGACCATGACCGTGACCATGTACATAATGGGCTGGAGCGATAGCACAGCGGAAGGGCATTTGCCTTGCACGCAGCCAACATGGCCTACCCGCGTTCGATTCCTCCTCCCCTCTTGGAGAGCCTGGTAAGCTACTGAGAGTTTCTCGTTCACACGGCAGAGCCTGACAAGCTCCCCACGGTGTATTTGATATGCCAAAAACAGTAACATCAAGTCTCATAATTGTTATGAGACATTACTGGTGCCCACTCGAGCAAACTGATGAACAACGGGAGGACAGTGCTACAGTGCTACAGTGTTGGTTTCTAAATCTGTTGGCACAGGGGCCAGGGCATGGATCGGCAGCTAAGGCATTTGCCTCGCACGAGTCTGCGCCCTTTAGGAAAAACTTCTGGGTGTTGGGTAATCTGAAAGTCCTGAAGCGGGCTTGCGGCGCCTCTGCGGAAACTGGCAGGGACGTGGGAAGCGGGTGCAATTTCCCAGTGGCCACCAGATGGCGGTGTAGGGGGAGGCCGCCCTTGCCCCTCTTGACAGAGCCGCGCCAGCGATAGCGGAAGCGGAAGTCGGCGCTACGGTGGCCGGGAGCAGTCGCGGCGTTCGCGGCGCGCGGAGTCGCTGGTGGTCTCGGAGCCGCCCGGAGGGGCCCCGTGGCCGGCACCATGGTGAAGGAGCAGTTCCGGGAGACGGATGTGGCCAAGAAGATGTGAGTCGGAGCAGGCTGCGCCGAGGGCGGGGGCACGGGCCCGGGGGCAGGGCGAGGGTCAGCCGGGCCGCGGCGTCGCAGGGCCCTCGCGAAGGAGCAGCCCGTCCTGCCCCAGCCCGGCCGGCGGAGGTGGACAGGAGCAGGCGGGGGTCCGAGCGGCCTTCCCGGAGTCTCTAAAGCTGAATGTCGGGGCAGTTGCAGAACGACAGGCAGGGCGTCCGCCTTGCACGTGCCTGACCCCGGCCTGACCACTGGCATTGCATACGGTGCCCAGCCCCACCAGGAGTGATCCCGAGCACCTCCGGGTGCGGCCCCAAATGCACAGTAACAAGCACGAGGAGTCGGTGGGAGACCTGCGCCGAGTTGGAGGCAGTGAGACCGTAGGCTGCGCTGCAGAGCTGCAGGCGGGGGGACTAAGTCACTGGGAAGTTAGTTGATTCCGGAGATCTGGCGTCAGGCCAGCCAGACGGGTGGGGAAAGTCCGGGAAGCAGGAGACTTAGGCTTACGGTTGGGTGGAAGGGTCTTACCTGAATGACCCCATCCAGCCCGTCCATGCCCACCCTCCGCAGTGCAGGTAGGAGCGAGCCCCAGCCCCGGTCATTTGTTCTGGTGGGCACTGGTCCCCGTCCCCTCTGCTTCCAAGCCTCCACCAGCGCTTCAGTCCCCTGCCACCTCCTGGGCTCCGCCTGGCAGCTTTCTCTGCTCTCCTGCAGTGCGTTGCGGGCGCCTAGGTAGCACCAGGTTCCTGCTGGCTGAAACGCCTCTGTCTCTCCCCCGTTTATTCTCTGCTTCAAACGCTTTCGCGCCCCGTCAGATTGTGCAGAGTTGACTTTCCATGTCATCTTCACGCATGCTTTTTCCGGCTGCAGGGCAGGAAGCCCCTTCCCAGCCCCCCTCCCCTCCCCTTCTCTCCCAATTTGGTCCTCTCTGCCTCTGCTTGCCTGCCCAAACTCTGGGCCACGCACTGGCAGGAACCTTGTCTGTTTCCTCACTTCTCCTCAGCCCCTCCAGATGGCATGTGGTTAAGCCCCCCCCCCCCCCCATTTAAATCAGAAAGAAAAAATAAATGAGCATGTTTGGGGAGAAAAGCATTAGGTTCTGTCCTGAGTCTCAGTGTAGGCTGGGATTGTGGCCCAGCAGACCCACCCCAGCCCCGGGCTGAGAAATCAGCAGGGAGGATGCTTGCCTTGGACAGACACCCAGGTCTGAGCCCCGACACCCAGCCAGGAAGGATCCCCAAGCACCCCGAAATAAAGTGAAGTAGATGTGCCCCCTGTACGGTGCGTGTAAATATTCAAGTATGGCTCCCAAACAGTGCCCAGGATCTCCAGCTGGGCAGAAAGGGTGACCATCAGTAGGTGTGGATGGAGGCTGCCCAGCCTTTGAGCGTGCCCTGGATAGAGCCAGGCAGTGAGCCCTTCCAGTAGCTCAGGGCTGGGGAGGAGAGAGGATTATCAAGAAAGCACTCCTTTGGTAAAGCGTCTTAAAAGATACCTTTTATTTTGTTTATTTTGGGTTTTGAGTCACACCCAGCTGTGCTCATGCCTTTCTCCTGGCTGGTGCTCAGGGATCAGGACTGGCAGGGCCCAGGGGACTGGGGGAGGGCCGGGGATTGAGCCTGGGTCTGCTGCACACAAGGGAGGCGCCCTGTCCACTGTTCTGCTCAGCTTTATAGCATATGGTAGATTTGTGCGTACAACGTTCCAACCCCATGCCCTCCATCCCTCCATCTCGGGTCGTTTCCCCTCAATCCCCCACCCTGAGAAGCTCAATCCCGTAGACCAGCTTGCAGGTTCTGTAAGCTTTAGCCGTCTGTTGTTCCTTTGCCTTTCTTCATGCCCCACCTATGAGAGAGGCCAAGGACCAGCCAACTGGGTGGGGACGGGGGTTGGGGGGGACACACTCAGTATTTGGTCCCAGCAAAAAGCAAGAGACGCCAAGTATTTCTGGATAAGGGGGCATCTCAGGGCCCTACAGGGACGTCACCTAAGCAACTTCTTCCTGGCAACAGCCGCAGGCGGGCAGCATTCGTCACAGGAGTAGAAACGGGGTCTCGGCTGGTGGGGGTGCAGCCGGAGGAAGGGCGGGAGCAGGTTTGCCCACGTTGGTTCTGCAGCGCGGGGCTAGGCCCGTGTTCAGGGGCAGCTCCAGTGACCGCGTCCCTGCCGGCTGCCCTGTGCCCTCTCTGCAGAAGCCACATCTGCTTCGGGATGAAGTCGCCCGAGGAGATGCGGCAGCAGGCCCACATCCAGGTCGTGAGCAAGAACCTGTACAGCCAGGACAACCACCACGCGCCCCTGCTCTACGGTGTCCTGGACCACAGGATGGTGAGACTGTGCCTGCATGTACTTCCGCTTCCTGCCAAAGTGGCAACATGGGGAATTGGAATCATAGTATCGCAGGGAGGGTGTTTGCCTGGCACTTGGCCAGCCTGGGTTCGATCCCCGACCTCCCATACGGTCCACCAAGAGTGACCGTAAACAGAGCCAGGAGTAAGCCCTGAGCTTCACTGGGTGGGACCCAGAAAGATGTGGCTGCTGGAAGAGGCGGGCATCGCCCCTCCCTCCGCGTTCCCAGCAAGGCACACACTGTGATTCTTCCATCCGCCACTGTCCCCACTCGGTGTTCCCTGTACCTCCGGAGTGCCTTGCTGTCCCTTGAGTCCTGTGTGTGTTTGTGGCACCAGGGTACCAGTGAGAAGGACCAGCCTTGTGAAACGTGCGGCAAGAACCTGGCCGACTGCCTGGGCCACTACGGCTATATTGACCTGGAGCTCCCCTGTTTCCACGTGGGCTACTTCAGGGCGGTCATCGGGGTCTTACAGGTGAGTGCCTGCTTCTGTGACAGCCGGGGGTCAGCAGGTGGTTCCCAGAACAGTAGGAAAGGACAGTGTAAAGGTGCTTTCTGGATTCAGGTTCTGTCTGGCCTGACATCACAGGTGGCCCCTGAATGCTGCCCAGGAGTGATCCGGGAGCACAGCTGGGTGTGGCCCCGAAACAGCAACCACCAAGAAGATGAAATAATTCAGCACAAGGGACCCGAGAGATAGTGCTGGCCTTATGGCTACCTACATTTGATCCCCCCCGCACCCTATATGGTCTCCTGAGCCCCTCCAGGACCAAGTGCAGAGCAAGAGGAAGCCCTGAGCACTGCCAAGGATGAACCAAAAAACAAGGACTAGTAATTGGCACAAAGCAAGAGGTCTCATTGACAGAAGTACTCCCCACAGTGCTGTCGACGGCTCTGCTGTGCCCAGGGTGGGGGGGAGGAGGGGTTTCCTCCAGCAGTGTCCTCAAGTTTTCCCACACCAGTGTCCTCCGTTTCCCTCCTGCTCCTTTCTGCCTCTGTGGTAGACACTTCTCTCTTTCTCTCTCTCTCCCCCCCTCCTTCCCTCACTCTCTCTCTTTCTTTATCCTTTATCTTATACCTCTTATACCCCTTACCAACTTTCAACGTTCAGTTCTTGTCCAGAGTGATCATTTCCAACTGTTATTGAAACATTGTATGGCTGAACCCCAATCATGAACAACTTAACTTTGTAACCATGTATCTCTCTGTGATTCAATTATTTATTTATTTATTTATTTGCTATTTGGGTCACACCTGGTGATGCACAGGGATTACTCCCGGCTCTGCACTCAGGAGTTACTCCTGGTGGTGCTCAGGGGACCAGCCCCTGTGATTCAATTTTTTAAAAAAAATTTTTTTAAAGGAAAACGGGCTGGAGCAATAGCACAGCAGGTAGGGCGTTTGCCTTGTATGCGGCCGACCCAAGTTCGATTCCCAGCGTCCCATATGGTCCCCCCGAGCACCGCCAGGAGTAACTCCTGAGTGCAGAGCCAGGAGTAACCCCTGTGCATCACCAGGTGTGACCCAAAAAGCGAAAAAAGGAAAACAATTTAAAGGGGGTGTGAGGAAAGCTATGTGAATTGAGACCAGAGTGATAGTACAGCAGGTAGGGTGCTTCCCTTGCAGAGGGCCAACCAGATTCAATCCCCGGCATCCCATATGGTTCCTGAGCACTGCCAGGAATGATCTCTGAGTGCAGAGCCAGGAGTAAGCCCTGAGCATCACCAGGTTTGGCCCAAGAACTAAAATAATAATAATGCAAAAAAAATTTTTGTGTGGTGTGAGAAAACGGACCCAGTGTCCACATAACCGTTTCATTTGTCACAGATGATCTGTAAGACTTGCTGCCACATCATGCTGTCGCAGGAGGAGAGGAAGCAGTTCCTGGATCACCTGAAACGGCCCGGCCTCACCTACCTCCAGAAGCGGGGGCTGAAGAAGAAAATCTCCGACAAGTGCCGGAAGAAAACGATCTGCCACCACTGCGGCGCCTTCAACGGTGAGCAGAGAGCACGCAGGAACCTCCTGACAGCGGCGGGGTCAGTGCGGGCCCTGGAGGAGGTCCTCACTCCTGCAGTTCCCATGAGCGCCCTGACCAGATACTGGCCTAGCGCAGCCCTGCTGTTCCAGCCCCAATACAGACATCGACTCTTGCAGGTACTGTGAAAAAATGTGGATTGCTGAAGATAATTCACGAGAAGTACAAGAGCAACAAGAAAGTGGTGGATCCAGTTGTTTCCAGTTTCCTGCAGTCCTTTGAAACAGCCATCGAGCATAACAAAGAAGTGGAGCCTCTGCTCGGGAGGGCGCAGGTGAGCCCCGGGGAGGGCGGGTGTACACGTGCTCACGCACACATGCTTGGCACCAGTCAGCCAGAAAGGGCCCTCCTGCCCTCTGGCGCCTCCCTTCAGGGACACACACACACACACACACACACACTACCCTGGCTCCCCTGTCTGCCACACACCACTGGCTGCTTACGGAGTCTGGTTTCCAGGAATACTTTGTGTGACATGTGAACACTGTTGCGCACACGTGAGCTTGTCTGACATTAGGTGTCACATGAACTTGGCCTTGCAGTAAAGCGTTGTATACCAGGTTTATCGTGAGACATAGCGCACGGGATCTCAGGACCTTCCCCTCGCGTGGGTAGAGGCAGAGACTGACGCTGGCTCCCATTACGTTACTGTCACAGACCTCGTGACAGACTCTTTTGGAGTGACTTGTTTCATGTTATCCCACATCTAATAGATGGTTTGCCTGGGGCCATCTCCAGCCAAGCTTCTTAAACGGGGGTAGGAGGGGTCTACCGAAAAACTGGCAGCTGGTAAAGGAGTTCTGGCCCCTACGTGAGATGGCACAATGGCGCATTGACAGCCCTGGGCCTGCTCATGTGCCAGCTGTGTGTGTGTGTGTGTGTGTGGTGTGTTCACAGCTGCACTGCAAGGCCCCAGGTCTGGTCACGTGCCAGCTGTGTGTGTGTGTGTGTGCGCGCGCGCCCAGCTGCACTGCAAGGCCCCAGGCCCCAAGCCTACTCACATGCCAGCTGAGTGTGTGTGTGTGTGTGTGTGTGTGTGTGTGTGTGTGTGTGAGTCAGCAGACCCACAACGCAGCCAAGCCCCAGGCCTGTCCCTCCCACCGTTACTGCCTCCTCTCTTCCTCTGGCTCCCCCTCTTTTTCTCGCCTTCCTTGGCATTTTTGTCCCTTTGGAGCCAGTGTTCTGCCCATCCTGTGTCCCACCTCTGAGTGAGTGGAAACACCCGGGGCTGGTCCTTGTCCCTGTGACCCTGCAGCTCTGTCCAGGGTCAGCAAATCACCCGAGCTAGCCCGTGCTCCTGGTGACTGCACACGCTCCGTCACGGGCCCCCGTGGCTTCCCGCTCCGGCTGTCACCTCACCTGCCTCCCTCGCTCCTCTCTCCGCAGGAGAACCTGAACCCCTTGGTCGTGCTGAATTTGTTCAAGCGCATCCCGGCCGAGGACGTCCCGCTGCTGCTCATGAACCCCGATGCGGGGAAGCCGTCCGACCTGATCCTCACGCGACTCCTGGTACCCCCTCTGTGCATCCGACCCTCTGTTGTGAGCGACCTGAAGTCGGGCACCAACGAAGACGACCTGACGATGAAGCTCACGGAGATCATCTTCCTCAATGACGTCATCAAGAAGGTCAGTGGCGCCCCGAGCCTTCCTGGGCCCCGGACCGCGGGGGCCGGCCGGGCTGCTGACCGGGGCGCTCTCCTCTCCGCCCGCCAGCACCGGATTTCGGGGGCCAAGACGCAGATGATCATGGAGGACTGGGACTTCCTGCAGCTGCAGTGCGCGCTCTACATCAACAGCGAGCTCTCGGGCATCCCCCTCAACATGGCGCCCAAGAAGTGGACCCGGGGCTTCGTCCAGCGCCTGAAGGGAAAGCAGGGTTCGTCCGGCAGCTCTTTTTAGGGGGGCTTATTCCCAGCAAGCTGCCTGAAGGCTTCGCACTCATGTCTCTGGCTCACAAATGCCACACATGCCGTGTGACCCGTGACGTTGGGGAGGGTTGCAGGGGCTCCTCCCTCCCTGCTCTGCTCAAGGCTGTCCCTTGGTGGTGCTCGGGGAACTGCACTCTGGCCCCTCCATGAGCTCTCGCCGCCCCCATCTATGACATTTTCCTTAAATTAGGGCGATTCCGAGGCAACCTGTCGGGAAAGAGAGTGGACTTTTCCGGCAGAACTGTCATCTCCCCTGACCCCAACCTCCGGATCGATGAGGTGGCCGTGCCAGTTCATGTCGCCAAAATTCTGACTTTTCCTGAGAAGGTACGTGCCCGCCAATGGTGTAGTTCTTGTTTGGGATCCACAGTTCTGGATTTGGGACTGGTCTGGCACATTGTGCTTTAAGCTTTCGTACGGCAGTAGGGAGGCCAAGTGACACAGTCGCCTGCCCAGATCGGTCTGCAGCATGTGTCGGCCCCTCAGACAGCTGACCGTCCAGGGCTGGTCAGCGGCGTGCGCTTCTGCCCCTCAGACAGCCGACCTTGTGGGGACTCAGGCTCACATGGGCGTTCAGTGCCCTTCAGCAACTTCCCCTGAGTCGTAGCATCTTGCATGTCTCTGGGTCCACACCTGAGGTTTCACTGTGACCAGCGCCACCCCAGTTCCTTTTCTTGGGTTGCATTTTTCCAGATCTTAGAATCGTTCAATCAAAGACTCGAGGTACTTAAATTTGGGGTGGGGAGGGCGGTGGGCAAGGGTGCCGGGAATAAAGCCAAAGGCCTGAGCTGCGGCCCCCAAACGTGAAAGATGTTGGAACTATTGGTGTCTGAATAGAAAGGCTGTTCTCCCTTATGCTCCTGTAAACTGATTTACATTTCCCTAATTTAAGGAAAATGTCATGGATGGGGGCGGCGAGCACTTTTTTGGGGGGAGTGGGAGGGGCAGTGTAAGTACAGGTCACAGCAAGGAGACACTCTCAGTCTTGTCTTTGCCTTCTCGTAGAATAGTCACCTCATAGAGGTGCTGCCTGAGCTCTGTCAGATCCCTATATTGACCAGAGTCTCTTGAGGGCGTTGTTTAGATGGTTGTCCAGGACATAGGTGGACACACCTCAGTTCTGCTCCTGTTGCCTTTAAAGTTCGACACAGTTCATTTTCCTGATGGAATAATCAAACAAGTGTAGGAAGCAACTGACCCAAGCCAGCCAGCCCCTGAGTGACCGGGTCAGCTAGCACTTGAATGACCAGGTCTTTGAGCCGCTCGTGGGTTCTCATCCCACTGGCCCCAGAGGCCGAAATGCCTGCGGTGTTTCTGCTGCCCCTAGGGTACAGAACAGGAAGGTTGGGATTCAGACCTGGGAGTGAGCCAGGGTGCACTCACTCCCAGGGACCTCACGGCATCCCCTGCTCCCTCATGTTGTGGCCCTGCAGGTGAACAAAGCAAACATCCATTTCCTGAGGAAACTGGTCCGCAACGGCCCCGAAGTCCACCCTGGAGCCAATTTCATCCAGCAGAGACACACGCAGATGAAAAGGTGATGTTTCCACTCAGGTCGCTGCTGTTGCCTTCTGGACCCAGTTCGCTGTCACCCCTCTGGGTCCCGAGGAACAAACCCAAACACAGCTGCTGCCGCGCTCGTGCCTGGTGAGGATGCGGGCTCATACCGCAGCCAGCTGGGGAACACCGGGCCGGGAGATCAGTCCCTTGTGATTCGTGTTCTCGGACTTAGGTGGACAGACACATTAAGAGGAGGGAAGCGGGTATTTCCAGCTGGGCTCAGGCTGTTTCACTGCCCTCATTTCTCAGACTCTCCGGCTCCAGCGTTTCCACCCACAGGACCAACCGTCTGGGCCTCTCCCTCGCGCCCTGGGGAGAAGTTGATTTATTAAGATTCTGTCATTCATTCTGTGTTGAACATACATTATTCATATTTTAATGTGAGGGAATCTCATTCTGAATCTTCAACATGAGGATATCCGATTTAGAGTCACTTTCTCACAATTCACTGGAGGACACCTTGGAGTCAGTGACGTGTCACCCTGTTTCTCAAGGGAGGCCACGTGGGGCAGAGGATGGGACTCCAGTCTCACACAGGCCAGGCGTGTGCTCTCCCTTGGGCCTCTGCCCAGCAGACGCTTGAGCTCTCAGTACCACTTTTTGTGAAGCGTTGTGTGTGAGTGTGTGGGTAGAGTGTGGATGTGTGAGAATGTATGTGTGAGTGTGAGAGTGTATTAGCCTGTTTCTGTGTGTGTGCGCGCGCGCGTGTGCGTACATGCGTGCGTGGACGTGTGCGCTAAGGGGCACACACCCAGAGCCACATAGGTCCGGGGCCTGCTCCTCACCACTGCGCTGTGTCCCTGGTCTCAGTCGAGTGCTCAGACCTTTACGGGGCGAGTGAGGGGCTGGGGCGGACACTGTTCTCACAGGGGCCTTTGCGCTCGCTCCGTGCAGGTTTCTGAAGTATGGGAATAGGGAAAAGATGGCTCAGGAACTCAAGTTTGGAGACATCGTGGAGAGGCATCTCATCGATGGGGACGTGGTGCTGTTCAATCGTCAGCCGTCGCTGCACAAACTGAGCATCATGGCGCACCTGGTGAGGACGGCTCGCGCCTTCACCTCCTGTGTGTGACGGGAGGCTGGGGAAATGTTCACTTGGTTGGGGTGAAACTCCCTCAGACTGCATTTCCCTTCCGTGTTGGCGGGTGCACAACGTGGAACTCAGCCTGGGGCTGCTGGCACTTCACTTTTAAGGTGCTTTTTTTTTTAATTGAACCACTGTGAATTGCAGAATTATAAAAATACTATGATTGCATTCCGACACCAGTCCCCTCACAGCATCCACTTCCCTCCGCCGATGTCCCCGTTTCCCTCCCACCACCGAGCCTGCCTCTGTGGCAGGTACTTTTTTCTTTGTTTTCTTTCCTCACCCCTCTAGACACTGTGGCTTACAGTGCTGTGCCCAGGAGGGCCTCGTGCACGTCACTTTCCTCCTTCCAGGGCCCATCCCTGTCCAGAGTGACCACGGCTGTCATCGTCGTAGTGGGAGCTGCCCTGGCCCCACCCCACCCGCCATGCAGCCTCCTCCTGAAGACCAGGCTCATCCCCTTTGTTTCTGTTGCCTTTGAGCATCTGTTGGTCCCTGACTGTTTCTTTATGTCCCACATAGGAGAGCTCATTCTGTGTCTGTCCCTCTCCCTCGGACTCAACATCACTCACCCTGGACTCCAGATCCATCCACATAGCAGCAAATTGCATTTTATTACAGTTGAGTCCAATCCTATTCCGCTGTGCAGATGTACAATAGTTTCTTTATCCAGTCATCTGTTCTTGGACACTTGGATTGTTTCCAGATTTTAGCGACTGTGAACAGTGCTGCAGTGAAAATAAGAGTGCAGATAACTTTTCTGCATTGTGTTTCTGGGTTTTTGGGGTATATTCCCAGGAGCAGAATTGCAGGGTCTCATGGAAGCTCAATTCCTCGTTTTTTGAAGAATGTCATATTGTCTTCCAAAAAGACTGGACCAGTCAACAATCCCACCAGCAGTGAATGAGGGTCCCTTTTCCCCCTCATCCATGCCAGCACTGGCGGTGGTTGTTTTATTAGTTTTAGTCAGCCTTGGCCGTCAGTCCCTTTTCAATCCCACTGACAGAATTGGCCACAGGAGACCCTCACAGGATTCCCCTACTCGTACTTGCCTCACAGTTTAAATACAAAATCATTCCGTTGGTTTGCGCTGATAAAGCCACCTGGACTAGTTCACAGGTGATCTCGCTGGCAAAAACAGAATAGAATTGTGTCTCCGTAACCTAAGGGCTCTGTTGCCAGGAATCCACATTTATATGTCTTCTCACTGTCACTGTCCTCCCGTTGTTCGTCAATTTGCTTGAGCGGGCCCAGTAACGTCTCCATTGTAACACTTGTTACTGTGTTTGGCATATCGAGTACATCACGGGGAGCTTGCCAGGCTTTGCCACTACCCACTCTGCTGTTGCTCCAACCCGTCTTCTCACTAAAAAGTCTTTTTTTTTTTTCTTGGTTTTTGGATCACGCTCAGCGGTGCTCAGGGCTTATTCCTGGTTCTGCACTCAGAAATCACTCTTGGGGGGATTCAGAGGACCATAGGGTTCAGGGATTGAACCTGGTTGGCCATGTGCAAGGCCCTGATCACTGTCCTGTCACTCCAGCGCGGCTCTGAGCACCTTGTGAGTGACTCACTCGATGCTTCTGTTCCCACAGGCCAGGGTCAAGCCCCACCGGACCTTCAGATTTAACGAGTGCGTCTGCACCCCCTACAATGCAGACTTCGACGGCGACGAGATGAACCTGCATCTTCCCCAGACAGAAGAAGCCAAAGCAGAGGCCCTCGTCCTGATGGGGGTAGGCTGGAGAGGGGTAGCGGGATAGGGGCCACGCGTGGCAGTGTTCGGGGGGGGGGGGGACTCCCACACGGCTCTGCTCTGGGGTCACTCTTACCAGTGCTGGGCGGTGGCGGGGGGGGGGGGGTGAGAGGTGGCCATGCAGTGTTGTGGAATGAACCAGGCTCAGTAATGTGAACGGCGAGCTCCTTGGCAGCCCCTCGGGGCGCGGTGCCTCTGATCTGTGGCGGGATCCTGAGAGCGAGGAGACCCAGGAGGTTATGAAAGAGTTCGGGGCGCGAGAGCGGCCAGGTGTCGACTGCTGGGGTGGGGGGAAGACAGGTCTGGACAGGTCATTTCTCAGCGACTGACCGTCCTCCAAGCTGCTGCCTCACCTTGACAACGCTGAGTGGGAGTCTGTTGGGGCGTGTCACACGCTGCTCTGCCCTCGGGCTCAGGCGGTGAGGCCTACTCCGGGTGCCCATGAGACCCCGCGTTTGACCTTCGGCGTTGCGTGGCCCACTGGGCACTGGGCAGCAGCCGCCTTGGCCGTGTTCCATGTGCCAGGGTGAGCCCTGCAGAAACAGTCAGAGGCAACCAGATCACTCACTACAGTGTTGTTTGGGAAGCCCCTGGCTCAGTCTGTTTCACAAGTGGGTTCCAAAATGCCGCCCACAACTGATGGTTTAGGACGGGGAAGGGCATCACGCCCGCTCTTGGCTGGCATCTGGACTGGTTCATGCTCAGCCAGACCCAGCTGTGGGAGCCCGAAACCTAGTGGCCCTAGACAGGTGAGGGCCCAGAATCCCGGTCTCTTCCTCCCCAGTGTCTGCCTCTCTGGAGCAGGCCCTGAGAAGGTGTGGTCGGAGGTGCTCCTCCCCTGGAGAGCAGTGCCTGGGACTGGGTCCGAGAGCTGGGTGGAAGCCTGCCCTCCCTCTGGGCCACACTTGGCAGTACTCAGGGCTGACTCCTAGTTCTGTGCTCAAGGGTCACTGCTGGCAGTGGTCGGGGGACTGATCGTAAGGGATGCCAGGAATTGAACCCAGAGCAGCTGCACGCAAGGCAAATGCCCTTCCTGTGGTATACTGTCGCTCCATCCCCAACATTTACTTGTAAAGACGTTTCATTTGGCGAGAGTTTGTGTTGGGGTACAGGTTGCCAGGTCTGCCCACCACCATAGTGCCAGTGTCTTTTAGGAGAGCCCAGTGGACCCTCAGCCTTTTGAGCTCACCCACCAGCCCAGCTTTGGAGCTAGAGTCTAAGGTGGGTTTTTGGGTTTCCCAGGGAAATCGTCCCTTTGTTTCTGAATGTCCTGTGTATGAGATCCCCTGCTCTTTCCATCCTTCTGACACTTTGTTAACCTCATGACCCCCTCACCCAGCTATACACACTTTGTAGCAGAAGACTCACATCTCACACCCACACAGGACAGCTTTCTCATCACCTTACTCCCATCAGGTGCTGGGCTTAACGTTAGACCTCAGCCGCCGTAGGGAGCGTTGGGATGGGACAGGTTCACATTGAACCTCCGGGTAAGGTTGTCGGCCCAGAAGGCACATGCATTCTGAGTCAGCTAAGAAGTTTCCAGACTCTGCCAGGGCCAGAGCAATAGTACAGCGGGGGAAGGGCGTTTGCCTTGCACATGGCCGACCCAGGTTGGATCCCCAGCATTCCTTGTCCCCCAAGCACCGCCAGGACTAATTCCTGAGCTCAGAGCCAGGTGTGACCCAAAAACAAAACCCCCCCAAAAAGCAGACTTTAGGCCAAAGGGTCTAGGCCCATTCACGTTCTGGCCAGCATTGTTTGGGGATCCATGTTTTTCCCTGTGCATCCTGTACCGGCGCTTGTTCCTGGCCTTTGTGCAGAGATGCTGTCGCTAGCCGAGGCACCCAGGCATTGAGACTTCTATGCATCTCTGACCCTCACTCAGGAGTACTTCTTCACGTGCCTCTGGCCAGCGAGGGATGTTCTGTGCATGAGTGTTTGTTCCACTCCTCTCCCGATGGGGCCACTTGGAGAGTGGCCCTTTGTAAGGTGTACGCTGTGGAGATGCTCTCCCACACGATGGCTTGCCTGTGTGTCTCAGTGTCATCATCCTTTGTCTTGTGGAAGCTTTTGCGTTCCAGGCAGTCCTGTTTATTTTTTACTTTTCTGCTCCCCTTTGCCACTGGAGTTGGCTCCCTGACAACTTCTCTGAGGCTAGTATTTCTATTAGCAAGTGCCTCTGTCGCTGAGTAGAAGTTCTATCGGTGATAGAAGTCGGCGAGTAGAGCTTCCAAGGGTGAATAGTGCCTCTGTCGGCAAGTCGTGCCTCTGTCGGGATACCAATAATGGCTCTGTTGGTGGGTAGTGTCTCTGTTGGCAGGTAGTGCCTCTCCTGTTCCCTTTCTTGTGCCTGGTGGTTTTGCCCACACACCTGGCGGCTGTGCAGCCCAGCGGGTCAGCTCTCGCACTCACAGCTGCGTGCTCCCCGTGTTTCCACTCCTTCTGTTGTGGTGTCCGCTCTCAGCTGAGGGTGGTGGTGCTCCCCACATGTTGTCAGGTTTCACTTCCTATGCCAGCATTGGGTTCCCAGTGCTACCTACCCACCCACGCCCTGGCAGCATGTAGCAGGGAATCTCTGTGCCCCAGGGACCAGAGTGGCCCTGGTGACACTCGGTACCCTGGAATACCAGGGATTCGAATTCAACCACATACTTTCAAAGCAGGTACTCGAAGCCCTGGGCAGTTCCTGCAGCCCCAACATCCAGTCTTTATCTTGAGTTGTTGTTTGGGGGCCATAATTGGCAAAACTCAGGGGCCACTCCTGGCTCAGGCCCAGAAACCACACGGGGTGCTGGGTCAGCTGTGTACAGGGCAAGTACCCTAACCCCCGAGAGCAGCACTCCGGCCCCTGTCCTTCCGATCTGCATGGTGTGAGCTGGTGGTTCTGTTTCATGCTTTGGCCTGTCGGTTTTCCCAGACTCCCTTAGTTAAAGAACTGTGCCCTCTTCTAGTTTCTGCTCTTGGCGCCCTTGTGAATTCCCTGTCGTCCGCGTCTCGGCTTAGCTCTGGGCTCTCGGTTCTGTTCCATTGCTCTGTGTACCACTGTTCCAATACCACTAGCTGTTTCAGCGGCTATGGCTTTGCATAGATTAAAGGCAGATGGTAAGTTGTGTCGATGACATGATTTGGGCTTAGGGGGGAAGTAAATGCTGTTTGTTAGACTGTGTATAGCAGAGCGAAATATTCTATTTAGACAGCAGTCCCTTTTGCCTGGCAGTTTCACAAATAGGAGATTGGGGTTATGTTTTGTTTTGACACAGCTCTATTTTTACCTTTTTTTCCTATGGCAAATAGATTATCTCATAACAGGACGTAAAGTTCCGAGTACAACCGACCCAGATTCAATCCCGGGGACCACAGAAGGTCCCCCAAGGCACCACCAACAGTGACTGCTAACAGAGCCGGGGGAGAGACCCTGCGCAAGCCCAGTGTGGATCCCAAACTCCATCCCACATATGGTCTGCATGCAAACAGGGGCTAGGGTCAGAATTCACAGTGAGGCACCGCAGTACAAACATTATCACAGTGTATTTTACGGTTAAAAATAGCACAGTTGGAGCAGAGGTAGGGTGCTGCTGGCCTTGCACACAACTGACTCGGGCTCAATCCCCGGCATCCCGTATGGATCCCCAAGCCCACAAGGAATGATTCCTGAGTGCAGAGCCAGGAGTAATCACTGAGCATCGCCAGGTGTGGCCAAAAGTAATTAATGTTTGTCCTTCAGACAAAAGCGAACCTTGTCACCCCAAGGAACGGAGAGCCCCTGATCGCTGCGATTCAGGATTTCCTGACAGGTGGGTGTGTAGAGCACGCGCAGTCACGTGGTGACTGGAGAGCTGTTTAATTGCCTGTTTCATTCTGCTTGTTTGCTCACTGTGATTGTCAGCCCACTTCAGTTCTTTCATATTGACGGTTCTTCATCAAATCAACAAGCGTTGTTGATTCCCACCATGAATGAGCAAATCTTCCTAAGCACCGGTGACGAGAACAGAGTTCCTTTCCTTGTGGAGCTTTGAGGCCAGCTGAAAGGGCCAATAAGCAGTTGGATATTTATTTGGTTTTTATTTTGGATTTTGTTTATGGGGGAGCCATACCTGGCAATTTTCTGGGCTTAGCGGTAGGGCGTTTGCCTTGCACGCAGCCAGCATGGCCAATTCGAGTTCGATTCCTCCGCCCCTCTCGGAGAGCCCGGCAAGCTACCAAGAGTATCTCGCCCGCACGGCAGAGCCTGGCAAGCTCCCCGTGACGTATTCGATATGCCAGACACAGTAACAACAAAGTCTCCAATGGAGACGTTACTGGGCCCGCTCGAGCAAATCGATGATCAACGGGAGGGCCTTTACTTACTTTACTTTACTCCTGGCTCTACACTAAGGAATCACTCCTGGCGGTGCTTGGGCGACCTTATGGGATGCTGGGGATCAAACCCAGGTCAGAAGCATGCAAGGCAAACGCCCTCCCTGCCGCTGTACTATGACTCAGGCCCCTTCATTTTTTATTGTAATTGTAGCGTTTGTTCCTCTCCCAGCAGTACTTTGGGGTTGGGTCTGTGTGATTCTGGGGGGCCACTCCTGCTGCTCACCTAGGGACAACCATGCGGTTCCAGGGATGGACCCCAGGCCCCCCATGCAGACCTTGTCCTCCAGCCTTCTCTGGCCTGGCAGCTGTCTGTTTGCTCTTGCTGTTTCAATAGCTGTCCAAATTCATCTTAAAATGGGATTTGATTTCACAGTGTCACAACGTCATTCCCTTTTTGTTTCCTTTTTCTGATTCTTTTTTTCCTTAATATTCGTAGGTGCCTATCTCCTCACTCTGAAGGACACTTTCTTTGATCGAGCCAAGGCTTGTCAAATCATCGCTTCAATATTGGTTGGCAAGGATGAGAAAATCAAAGTCCGCCTCCCGCCTCCAACGATATTAAAGGTGTGTGCAGGGCCCGCGTGGGCCCAGGCAGGGGCATGGGGGGGCCTTCCGTCGTGCGGGCACCAGACTGCAAGGGGCCTGTGCTGACCCTTGCATGGAGGGTGTTTGAGCCCGGCCTGACCAGCTCATGCTCCGACTCCCTCCTCCAGCCTGTCACCCTGTGGACAGGAAAGCAGATCTTCAGTGTCATCCTCAGACCTAGTGACGACAACCCGGTGAGGGCCAACCTCCGGACCAAGGGCAAGCAGTACAGCGGCAAAGGGGAAGATCTCTGTGCCAATGACTCTTGTGAGTGGAGCCGCCTAATCTGTGCCTAATCTGCCCCTGATCTCTGCTTTGCTCCTGCACCAAGCGAGGCTGGAGGGGAGATAACTCGTTTCTCTCAAAGGCAGAGATCATGGAGCTGCAGGACGCAGGGGTTATATATCTTTCAAACGTATTTTGTCTGGGGGCTGGAGAGAGAGTACAGTGGGATAAGTACTGTGCAGAGATAGTACAGACACTTCCTTCGCACATAGCCAACCCGGGTTCCATCCCCAGCCATCCCATATGGTTCCTTGAGCACCACCAGGAGTGATCTCTGAGTCCAGGGCTAGGAACAAATTCTGAGCCCAGTGTGGTCCGAAAACAAAACAAACACAGAAAATGTGTTTCGTCATAAGTGACTTCTGCCAGTTACTAAAATTGCTTTTATTCTGCCTTGTTTTTTTGTTTCGTTTTGGGGTCATACCTGGTGGTGCTCCAGGGTCAGTCCTGGCGAGCTCAGGGTGCCATATGGGATGCTGGGGATCAAACCCAGGTGGGCTGATGCGAGGCTGGCACCGTCCCTGCTGTCCTGGCTCCGGCCCCAGCGTTTCTCTGTTTGTTGCTATTAGGCTCTTCCTGGTGATGCCATTCTCGGTTGTCAGTATGAGTGACTAGCAAACGGCATGACAGATTAGACATCCTCATCACTGCCCACGAGGGTGACGGCGCTCTGTCACCCACTGCTCAGAGACTGAGCCCACCATGCCCCGGGGTCATTTTCTCCCTCAAAACATTTAAACAGTTGTTTTTGTTTGTTTTGCTGTGCCTTCGCTTTCTGTCTCAAAGCTTAATTTTTCCGCTGCCTCGAGTTCCTTTTGGATTGAGGCACCGTGAGGAGCAGTTGCTTGTCTAGACGCATGACCGCCATTGCTCTTGCAGACGTGACCATCCAGAACAGCGAGCTGATGAGCGGCAGCATGGACAAGGGCACGCTGGGCTCCGGCTCCAAGAACAACATCTTCTACATCTTGCTTCGAGACTGGGGCCAGAACGAAGCTGCAGACGCCATGTCCCGGCTGGCCCGGCTGGCCCCCGTGTACCTGTGTGAGTGTCGGGGCCCCGGGCTTTTAGGCATTCGTTCCCTCCTCCCCACCCACACCTTTCTCGAGAATAATGGTTCATTAGTCCAGACTAAATCGCTTGGACTTTCTCCTGACTTACTTGGTGCTTGGTGCCTGCAGTCCTCCCTCAGAGTCTGGCTAGTGCCCCAGCGCCTGCCACCCGGGGGCATCACGTGCAGGACCCCAGTGGGCAGCCTCCAGGACCAGGTTCAAAGATGGAGCACTCTGGGACTCCGTGTCCGAGGCTCTTCCCTTCTGTTCCACTATTCCTGTTTCCTTCATTAGTGGGTTGAGTTGTGGGGGCCTGGGGCTCCTCCATCCAGCTCCATGGCAGGAGGCTGTGCTATCCCAGAGACCAAGTGAGGCAGGTGGAGATTTCCTAATACCTGAAGCCTGCTCTTCAGCTCGGCTGATTATTTGGTGGTCAAGATCCTAGATTGACGTTTCTCCCCAGAGCATTAAAGGTGCTGCCCTGTCTTAGCCATCAGAGCTGCTGTTCAGAGTCAAGCAGGGCTCAGGCTGGAGCAATAGCACAGTGGGTTGGGCGTTTGCCTTGCACGCGGCCGAGCCGGGTTCTATTCCCAGCATCCCATATGGTTCCCCAAGCACCACCAGGAGTGATTCCTGAGTGCAGAGCCAGGAGTAACCCTTGAGCATCTGCTGGGTGTGACCCCTGCCCCCCAAAAAAAACAAGAAAAAAATAACAAAAAAAAAGTCAAGCAGGCCTGGAGCTGTGGGATAGGGAGGGGGCACTGTCATGTATGTGACCAGCCCAGGTTCAAGCCCCAGCACCCCTGTGGTCCCTGCCCCACACTCCTCACCCCAGCACCACCAGGAGTGATCCCCAGGTGCAGAGCCAGGAGTAAGCCCTGAGCACCACCAGGTATGGTCAGACACCAAATAATAAAAGAGGCTAGCGTGTCTCCATCCTTACTCCCAACTGTGCTGAGTTTCCTTTTCATTCTGGAAGCTCTGTGAATGCTATGTGGTCCGAGTGATGAGAAAGCTGACAGTGGTATGTACCCTTGGTATTGGGGTGTCTGTGTGTCTGTCTATGTGTGTCTATGTCTGTCTGTGTCTGTCTATCTGTGTGTGTGTGTGTAAGTGTATGGGTGTGTGTGTGTGTGTGTGTGTGTGTGCGCGTGCGTAGTAAAGTAGTAGTTTCAGGGTGTTCAAGAGGATTCAAGAGGATACCAAGTCTCAGGAGAATGTATGATTCTCAAGTACCTCGTGAAGTAAAAGAGAAATTACCCACCCAGGCTGGGGTGCAGCAGATTGCAGATGGAGTGACCCTCTTATGCACTCTCTCACGCTCTCTGTCCCTTTCTCACTCTCCCTCTCTTGCTCAGTCTTGCGCTCTCTCCCCCTTCTCTTTCTCTCTCTATTCCCTCCCCCTCCATCCATATTCCCAGCTCATCAGTCATTCCTGGTGAGCTCACGGGACCCCGTGTACCAGGGATCCATCCCAGGCCTCCTGCATGCAGAACTTGTGCTCCAACGCTTGAATTACCCCCTCGTCCCATACCTTCTGTTTTTATTGTTGGAAGGGGGGGCAGGGGCACACCAGGCAGTGCTCAGGGATCACTCAGAGCTCAGCGAAACGTGGAACTGGAAATCAAACCCAGGTCTGGTGCCTGCAAGACAAGCACCCTGCCCACTGTGCTCCCTCCAGCCCCCACCTTACCTTTCAGCTCTCCTATTGACTTTCAGATTTTATTCTAGTAGATTGATTTTCCAGCCATTTCTTTCTTTGATCTTGATTGTAGTCAGGTACTCCTTTGGGGGTTTTATTTATTTATTTGTTTGTTTGTTTATTGAGCTCCAGTTCTTAACCCTCAGTCCCCTTACCTCTGTCGCTCTTGGACGATATTAATCCCTAGCGTGATTGGCTCCCTGGGTTTCCTCATTGCTTTCCTCCCTCTTTTGTCTGGGATGTGGAAGGCGTGCCTGGGTGCTCTGTTCCCTGGCTGCCCTTGTAGGAATGGGACACTGGGATCCTGATTGGAAACAGAGCCTGTTGGGGGAGGGCCCCGGCAGTCTGACTGGTGACTGGGTCAGAGGGTCAGTTTTCCTTCCCTGGAGTTGGGAGTTTTGTCGCTGGGGCGCGGCCTGCTGGAAGAGGAGGGCCGCCCTTTCCACAGGGCCCGCCCCTCTCTCCCTCCTCCTCTCAGTGACTCTCAGAAGGTCTGGTGGGTTCTTTGCCAGCTCATTGCTTCATTGTTGATCCCTCGCGCGTGAGTGGAACCATCTGGCCAATGTCTTTCACTTCCCAGAGCAGCTTTAAATTAAGAAACTCCCACATGGTCCTGCTTTGCTCGGGCTTGCTTCCTCGAGAGCCCCAGGCTCTGCTTCCTACTGCTGGGCACACGCCTCCGCCCCCCGGGCGCCAGCCCTCCCTGCTGCCTCCCCGGTGTCCCCCATTCCAGAGCGCTGCCCGGAGCCCGGTTTGGATTCTTTGTTTTGTTTTGTCTTGGGGAGGAGGGGGAACCACCCGCTTTTCTCAGCCAACCAGATTGGGGGTTAAGTTCAAAGGTTGAGTTTGTGGCGCTTCTTGGACCTGGGCACGGGGACCAGCCCGGGTTGGGTGCGCGCTGACCACCGAGTCCTCCTTGTCCCTGGAGTCTGCCCTCACGCTCCTCTCCGGGCGCACGGCAGTGAGCGGCCACCTGTGACGCCTGTCACACTCCTGCTTGGTTCCTGCTCACTCAGTCTCTGCAGAGACTGGCTTGCTTCTGGCTGCAGGGTTCCTGCGAAGGCGCCAGCGTCACCCCAGCACCAAGCAACACGGCCAGCCTTGGGTTCATGGTCGGATTCATGGCCTAGGGTAGTAGGTGGCGCTTGCCTTACATGCGGCCTGCCAGGGTTCCAGCCCCCAAACCCCAGATGGCCCCCAAAAGTCAAAACTCACAGCCTCGTGCCTTCACGGCAGGCGCTGTGCCCCTGAGCCCTGCCAGGGTGAGCGCGTCCCTCACGCCCCGGCTCTCCTCAGTCAGCACCTGCAGCCGTTGTCTGGGCCTCTGTGCCTGTCTCTGAGAAGTGCTCGTGGCACTTAGCCATCATGGGGTGCGGGCGCCCCCAGGCCTGGTGCATGTGGACCCGGGGGGACCCCGAGCACACACACAGCACGCCGTGACCCTGCTTGCTGTTCTGTCCCCAGCCAACCGTGGATTCTCCATCGGGATCGGTGACGTCACCCCCGGCCAGGGGCTGCTGAAGGCCAAGTACGAGCTGCTGAATGCCGGCTACAAGAAATGCGACGAGTACATCGAAGCCCTCAACACCGGCAAGCTCCAGCAGCAGCCAGGCTGCACAGCCGAGGAGACCCTGGAGGTGAGCAGGGGCAGTGGGACGCCGTCGGCCGCAGCCCTCCTCGGCCCAGTGCTGGCTGTCCTGGGGCGCTTGGCGGGGCCTCTGCTGGATCCTTCCATCCCCTGGCCCACTGCAGGGGGGAGAGCTCAGGCCTCTCTCCATTTGGCCGCCCAGGCCTGCCTTGGCTCATTGCCGCCCAGTGCCTGTCCATCCTCCTTCCGTGTTCCGGTGGCCGTCAGGTGGGGAGAGTGGCTCCAGGGAGAGTGGCAGCCACTCTGGGCGGAGAGGGAAGAGGGAAAGTCACCCAGCAGCACAACACAGAATGACCTGAGGACCCAACACACACACACACACACACACACACACACACACACACACACACACACCAGGGTACTCCGAGAACCACACATGCATGCACACAGCAGACACCACAACACTCATGTACGCGCAGAGGAACACAATCACACACACACATGATCCTGCACACGCGTGTACACACAGGAGCACCCATCAGCGGCTGACTTGCCTCGGGGTGTTCCCTGGTCTTCCCGCCCCCACTGTGCAGTTGCTCTGCCGCACCCGGGTGTGGAGGGAAGGCTCAGAAGCATTTCTTAGGTGCGAGAGAAGTTTCTGTGGTGGATCTTGGATTTTGCTGCTTCCCCGACCTGCACCCGCCCTTGTTGGAGTGGGTGACACTCGCCTCCTTGGCTGTGGTGCTCCCAGGGACTCGTGCGCTTGCTCCTCTTGTGATGTCTGGCATCCACACTGCAGTGCCCCCCTGCATGGGTGGTGCCGGCGATCACATTCATGGCCTTGTGCTCAGGGTCGATAGGCCCATGGCCGACCTGGTTCGATCCGCAGCACCCCCTGTAGTCCCCAGAAAGCAAAGCTCACAGCCTCACGCCTTCAAGGCCAGCGCTCTGCCACTAAGCTCTCCAGGCCCTGAAAGGAATGATTGGGTCAGGGGAGGGGGGTGTCTGGAGGGCCCCCTCAAGCTGTGCTCAGGGAACTCCCCCAGCTGGCACTGCCTGGGGCTTCGGGCTGCGCCTGGCCACATCTGTGTGGTACCAGGGCCACCAGCACGCAGGTATGTAGCTCAATACTGTCCAGTCTCCAGGACCCCTGAATTATTTGAAGTAGGGAGAAAAGCGTTATAAACAAGAAGCATCTCCCAGTTGCCCAGCTCTTTCTCTCATCTTTTTCCTTTTCCTTATTCTTGGGGGCCACACCCAGCTGAGAGGCCAAACGGGGGCAGGAGGTGCGGGAACGCCGGGCCTCCCCGCCATTTGAGCTACTCTCACCCTTTTTTTTTCCCTTCCGTTTTCCTTCTCCACCTTCGCTTCCTCCCCCTCTTCTTAATCCTCAGTTTTGTCAACCTTCACCAGTTGGTCTTTCTTGCTCGGCGTTCGTCCTTCATCCGTTTCATGCCCTCCTGCTGCAGAGGTGAAATTGCCCCATGCCTTGGTTTCCCCGCTTGACTCATTCCACTTCGCATCATCTCCGTCAGGCTCATCCTTCCTCACCTCAGTGCTGTTTCTCACGTGGGAAATGACTCAAGGCGTCAGCAGTATTTGTTTGCCTAGAACCTTGGCTCACGGCCGCCTCCCTGTGTGCTGAGAAAGGACAGTCTGGTGGGGAGGGACGCGGGGGGCTTACAGCCATGGTGCTTCCTGCGGCCTCGCCTCCGCATGCACTGAGCATGTGGCAATGCAGATGTGTGCCTAGCAAGTCTGCTTGTTTTTTAAGATAAATTTGGGGACTGGAGAGATAGTACAGCTTGTAAGGCACTTGTCTTGCATGCACTGGACCTAGGTTCAATCCATGCCATCCCATATGGTCCCCTGAGCACTGCAGGGGTAATTCCTGAGTGCAGAGCCAGGGGTAAATAACCCCTGAGCATCACTGGGAGTGACCCCAAAACTAAAAAATAATTAAAAGTAATGAAAGACAAATTTCCTGAATAGTCCAGGAGCTCGAGATCCTTCCAAGGCTGGAGCTCATGCTCTGCATGCAAGAGGCCCAAGTTGGATCCGTGGTGCCACATGGTCTGCTGGGCAGTGAACCAGGACCACCCCTTATCACTGCCAGGGGTGGCCCCAGAGCAAGTAGAAGCAGCTCGCCAACATGCCCATACACTTTAATTCAGGCACGCGTGTACGTGAGGATGGCAACACGTAGCCAGCCTGCTGTTGGTAGGACACTGCATCCCTGACCCCACGAGCCTGCTGTTCTAGTGAGCTTCGGAGGTGAAGGCACTTGGGCAGTACTTGGGGCTGCCCCAGCACAGTGCACAAGGGCCCAGGGGTGTCTAGGCTGTGCTGGGGGGTCAAACCCCAGCCCCTGCATGCAGAACACAAGCTCCGGCCGTATGAACTACCTCCCGATCCTGTTTGATTGAACAGTTCCGGAGTTTTTTCTTTCCGTGAAGCCAAGTAGATTACAACAGCTTCCATCCACGTTATGCTTTGGACGTAAATCCCTACCAACCGAGCCAGGACCCTCCGCCATTGTCCTCTCATACCCTCTCCCACCCACACTCTCAGCCTCAGCTCACATGCTGTTGGCACTGTCAGGGACCTGTCCGCTGGCAGCTTTGTCTTCACAGATGAGCAAGCGGATATCCGTCACTTTCCTTAACCCGGCATCCTCTAATTCCAGCCAGTTCACAGCAAAGTGGAATTGAGTCCATCTATTTTCATGGCTGTGTGGTATTCCATTGTGAGTGCCTGCCACAATTCCTGTTTTCCTTTTGTTATAGACTGTTCTCACCCGTGTTATTCCTTGTGCATTTCCCTGACAACCAGTGTCGGTGAACATAATTTTCCTTGCCCATGGCCCATCTCTGTGTCTCTTTGTAGTGTCTTTTGCTCCTCTTTCATTTTTTGATGGGGAGGGGTGGTATTTGTTCTGCACTGAGTTTTGTGAAGCTCTCTGTATCTTGGAAATTGAGCTTTTGTCTGACATATGATGTAGGACTGTTTTCCCATAGAATTGGATGTCTTTTGTTCTGTTTTGTTATTTTGGTTTGGTGTTTGGTAGGTTTTGGTTTGGAGGCCACACCCAGCAGTGCTCAGGATTTATTCCTGACTCTGCAGTCAGGGATCACTCCTGGGTTCCAGGAGTACCATCTAGGTACCACTCAGGGGACCATCTTGGGGGCCAGGGATCGAATCCATGTGCCAGGCAGGTGCCCTCCCCTCTGGATTATCGCCCCATCCCCACCGTTGGGTGTCTTGTACCTTGGGCCTCTTTCCTTTTGCAAATGCAGAAGTTTTCAGTTTGATGCTACCCCATGTATTTTTACCTGCTCCTCTGCCGGTAGGGTGATGTTGAAGATGCCTCTTAGGGCTCTCGTTGAGAGCTTAGCTTGTTTCTCTTCATCCATTTAGTAGAAACGGATCTGATTTCAAGGTCTTTAATCCATTTGAAATTGAATCTTCTATAAGAGTGTGATAGCAATCCAATTTTCCCTTTTTGGGGCCATGAGATTGACCAGTTTTCACAGCATTATCTGTGGAAGAGACTTTCTTTGCTCCACACAAACACCCAGCTTTCTCTCGGGGGGACTTCATACAAACTCCAGGGCTTACCTCTGGTGCTCAGTTCCATTCTGTTGATGGAGAATCTGTTCCTGTACTCTGAAGTTGGAAATCTAAAGTCAGGAAATGCAGTATCTCCTGTCTTCTTCGTCTTCAGAATTGCCCTTACCTATTCCTAGAGTTTAAATGGTTTTCCACACTATTAGAAATACTGGTTCTCTGCCCTGGCCCTAGGAGTGTTGGGGAGATTGTGGTGAATTGGACATGCTTTGTGTAGTGTGGTCACCATTCAGAGGCATTTGTCAGCTTTCCTTTACCTTCCTCACGGATCGTGGACAAGCACCACCAGAGATGTGGGTCTTTACAGATCGGGCGTCTTGGGTCTGTCGGCTCTGCCGCCTTCGCCTCCTGAAAGGTGGCCGGATTTATTGTCAGAGTGTTTTGGACCTTCCCTGGCCATGTGTGACTAAGCCCCAAGTGTGTCCGTCTGTCCCGCAGGCTTTGATCCTGAAGGAGCTGTCTGTGATCCGCGATCACGCGGGCAGCGCCTGCCTCCGGGAGCTGGACAAGAGCAACAGCCCGCTCACCATGGCGCTCTGCGGCTCCAAAGGTGAGTGCGCCGCGCCTCAGACCGTACCCAGAGAGACTGAGTCTGGGTGTTTCACAGATTTTCACTCTGCTGGAGGAATTGATTGGCAGTGTTGAAGGGTGCATGGAGAAAAGTTCGTCTTTGGCTTGTTTGTTTTAATAATAATCAGAGTTACTCGAGGCCGCCTTTCATGGTATGTGCTCAGACTCAGGCTCCAGGCTTGTCCTGGTTTTTCTTCTCTTTTGGTGGGGGGGGGGGGGCGGCTTGGGGGCACACTTGGCTGTACTCAGGGCTTACTCCTGGCTCCACAATCTTGGATCACTCCTGGTGGGATTCGGGGGACCACAGGGGATCCTGGGGGTGGAACCCGGGTCAGCCGCTTGAGGCAAAGGCCTTCCCCACTGGACTGTTGCTCCAGCCCAAAGATTTCTTTATGGCAGTGCTGGGAATGGAGTGTTTGGGGGGTTGTTTTGGTTCGGGGGCGGGGACTAGACTACATCTGGCAGTGTTCAGGGGTTGCTCCTGGCGGGGCCAGCCCGCTGTTCTATCTCTTCAGCCTCCTGTTTTCATTCCTGCCTCCTTTCCCAGACCCCTCTCTTCGGGCTGCTGTGGGGTGGGGGAGGAGGTGCTTGACCCGAGGTGCCTCACTTGTCAGGCACAGTGCTCGCAGGATGTGCTGATTCTCCCCTGCAGTGCTCATCGCATCAGATTCAGCGCTCAGATCCCCCAGCCATGCCAGTTGCCCATCTTTTTGTGTGTGCTTGCCAAGGTCACAGCTGTTTATTGTGGTGTCGGGATCCCAGAAAGAAGAGCTGCCAGGATGACGCCCATCACACAGCCAACACCGGAGATTAGAGCTTGTTTCCATACGCTGACAAGGGGCTTCAAGTCCCTGCACAGTTGAGTCCTCGACACACCTGTCCTGGTGTCAGATTCTTTTTGTTTTTTATGTTTTTGGACAGTTTTTTGGTTTTATTTTATTAAAGCACAGTGATGTATGAAGTTACTCAGAGTTGAGTTTTAGACATATAATAGTACGACGCTGATCCCACCACCAGTGCCAATGTTCCCGGTCCCCCTCCCATGCCCCTCACCACCCCCTCCAGCCTGCCCTCCTAACAGGCACCTTCCTAAGTTCGGTTAAAGTTTGGGTCTCGTGATTTCAGAGCTGTTGAGTCCAGTTTGGATAATTGGCTCCACCATCCCTTAACCCCACCTCTGTGCCTGCCCTGGCCCCACTGCTTCTCATCTGCCTCTTCTCCCCCTGCCCTCTGCCCTCTGCCCTTTCTTTCCTCTTGCCCTTACTCGGGGCCAAGGGTCTGTTGTGAACCTTTTTGCCAGATGCAGCCCAGTGCCTTGAGCCCTCCCTGCTTCCCCGTCCTGTGCGGCACGCTTGGCCCTTCTTGGGTTTCACCTTCCTCTCTCCTACCACTCGGGGATCCCTGATCCCCCTCCCCTGCTCTTTGGGGGACAGGACAGCGTGCTGGTGGTGTGCTGTGCTCCTGCACCGTGCTGGGGCCACTCGCAGGGGTGCTGAGGAACGCTGGTGCCCCACATGCGAAGCTGCCCTTGGAGCTGCCCCCGTCCATATGTGACGTTGAGCCCTAATCCCCGCCGCTTGTCTGGGCCAGTCATCGCTCCCGCCTGGCAACCTCAGAGGCTCTGTGGCCCTGACTCTGTCCAGGGCCTGGAGTGGGGGCGCTGGCACGCGTGACTTGGGTCAACATCCCTCGCGCCTCTGACCTGTCCCCAGGTTCCTTCATTAACATCTCCCAGATGATCGCCTGTGTGGGGCAACAGGCCATCAGCGGCTCCCGCGTGCCAGACGGCTTCGAGAACCGATCCCTGCCTCACTTTGAGAAGCACTCCAAGGTACGGGCCCACTGCAGCGTAGACTGAGTGGGGGTGGAGGGGCTGCCCACGCACCAAACTCGGGGCACTGGAACCCGAACCTTCCTCCTCTTAGATGGTCATCTCCAAGGAGGCGGATTCCAGGCTCACCCAAAGGAACAAACTGTGGGGCAGGGGATGGCCTCAGGCAGGGCCCTCGCCTTGTGTGCATGAGTCCCTGGACTGTTCCTTGCACTACTAAGGAAAGAGTGAGGAGACGGACGCTCTGTGTGTGTGTGTGTGTGTGTGTGTGTGTGTGTGTGTGTGTGTGTGTTAGTTTGAGGAAGGCACATATATAGGAAATGGAGAATTTTTGAATAGTGATCATCTGTACCAGCCACACTGAAACAAACAAGAATTCCAGCTTCTTCTCTTTAATTCTCAGTTTGGCTCTTTTTGATGTCCAGGTCCACTTGCTCTCTTGATTTGGGTACCAGGTCAGTGGGGAGGTGAGGGGCTTGGGGGGAGGTCGGGGGGCAGGGGAGTTGGAAACCTCTCCTGGCATTTTTCTGAGGCTTGGGTATGGACAGCTGTGGAGTTGAGGCCCTCGGGTGGGTTTGTCCACGGGTTTAAATCCTATGTGTGCTCTCAGCCCTGGCCTGTTCAGATGGGGGGTCAGCAGGCTCTACCCCTGACCATTGCAGCCAGTGCTAGACAGCAAGGGAGCTGGACGCGCCGAGAAAGGCCACTTGCATCCTGGCTGCCCCGTAAGAAATCGAAGCCAGTGGAGCCGGAGCAATAGTGCAGAGGGGAGGACACTGGCCTTGTGCACTCTGACCCCCACATGGTGCCTGAACCCCACCAGGAGTTAGAGCTGGGGGCCCTGAAAACAAAGAAAAAGAAAATAGGAAAGCTGAGAGACAGAAAGAGAAAGAAACAGAAAGAGCTTTTCTGTTTTCCAATCTGGATCGTCCCCTCAGGCCTGTCCAGATCCTGTGCCACTGTGATGCTATTTCATGTGGCATTTCTCCCATGTTTTTCTTCTACGCGTCTAATGAGATGCATTTCATCATTCTTTTGCCCCTTGAGAGTGTCCAGTTGCGTGATGAGGCATGAGTTGTGTGGCTGTCACCCGGTCTTCCAGCCCCCGGTTTGCCACCCCTTGGTCATTGTGGCCAACGGGGAAGATGTCTTGGCCTTTTCTAAGAGGGGGCAGGTGGGTGCTCTGGGACCTTGCCCCCCACAGACACTGGCATGGCCCTGGTGGGTCCTCGCCCTCGTCTCTGGGAAGGATGGTGGATGAACTATTCCTGGCCCAGGAAAGGACACGCCAAGCTTCATGTCACAGGAGTGTTGCCGGGTCTGCCTTCATCTCAGGACAGTGGAGTTGTGTGGACTTTGACCTTTTATGCTGTTGTTTCATTTTTTCCCCCCTGCCCGCGTCTCTCTTCAGCTCCCGGCTGCCAAAGGCTTTGTGGCTAATAGCTTCTATTCCGGTTTGACACCCACGGAGTTTTTCTTCCACACAATGGCTGGTCGGGAAGGTCTGGTGGACACAGCTGTCAAGACTGCCGAAACGGGCTACATGCAGGTAAGGAGCAGAAAGGGACATGGGCCACAGGCAGCAGGGGCCAAGGGGCTCTGCAGGTTGGGTCTGCTAAGAGTTGGCCTAGTTTGAACTGCAGCTGGTGTTTAAAGGGGGCAGAAATCATTCACGTGGGTCTTGAGGTCCAGTGCAGGAGTCAAGGAGCTGGGCTTGCTGCACCCGCGCCCAGTTCGATTCCTGGCACTGCATGTGGTTCCCCAGTTCACTGAGTGTGATCGCTGACACTGCTGGGGAGATGGGTATTGAAATATATACATAAAGCTCAGCTAGCAATAAAAATCGCAGTTCTTTAAATTTTTTGTAAACCCAAATATTTAAAAATGTTTTTTAAAAAAGTCATGCTGAGGGGCTGGAGCGATAGCACAGCGGGTAGGGCATTTGCCTTGCACACAGCCAACCCGGGTTCGATTCCCAGAATCCCATATGGTCCCCTGCGCACTGCCAGGAGTAGCTCCTGAGTGCAGAGCTAGGACTATCCCCTGTGCATTGCCAGGTGTGACCCAAAAAGCAAAAATAAAATAGTCATGCTGAGCACAGAGTAAACCATGAACAGCCCCAGGTCTGACCCCCCCCCAAAAAAAAAAAAAAGTGAGAAAAGTACGCTCCAGATCACCAGCTATACCTGGACTGGTCAGCAGCAGGGCCAGTGTGGCATACAGAGCCCTGAAGGACGAGGGTCCTGGGGCACGTCCTGTGCTGCCCACGCCTGTCCCTACTCCGGTGAGTGAGGCTGGTCCCCCGCCTCCTTCTCCCGTAGCCGCTCTGCATGCAGCCTGCTGCTGACACCCCCGGGCTCTCGTGCCTGTGAGTCGGCCCTTCCCGTTGACACCCATCCTTCGCGTGACTCTGAGCATCTGCAGAGGGCTTGGGCTCAGTGGGGCCGTGCCGGCGCCGCAGCTGCCTCAGAAACACCTTCATGGTCGAGAGTCTGCACTTATCCCTGCTTTATATTCCCATCTGTCGAGATTTTTGGGTTCAGTCTTTAATTTTCATTTTTACCTGTACCCTATAATAATCGTTCTTCCCCATCCACCCCAGCCAAATTAGTGTTTTTGTCTGCTTAAAATACCAATACAGCTAGCAGGTGAAGCTGCTTTATTGAGATGCTTGTGTCTCCCCCCGCCACACACACACATACACACATACTGCCGAGCCGAGGTGGACGCGATGGCTTTTTGCAGGTCGGGAAGGCAGGAGTGGGGTATCAGGGCTGTGCATGAAGGGGCATCAGAAAGGAGCAGCCCTACGGTGGGCAGGACGCCGGGTTGCACACAGCCGACCCAGGGTCGAGCCCCATCATCTCCTATGACCCCGAACTCCACCAGGACTAACCTGAGCCCCGAGGTGTGTCCTGAAAACCAGAACAGGAAACACCGGTAAGGAAAGGTCGGTGGGGTGACGCGGGCTCTAGGCGGCAGGCACACGTGTCCGTCTCCTCACCTGCGCCCCCGGGAGCGTGCCTCGCTTCTCGTCCTGTGTGGTGGGAAGCTGCCTTTGTCCTTAACCCAGCAGGCTGGAATCCTTTGCCTGCTCCTGCCAGAAGGACCCTGAGCTTTGTTTTTCCTGTCTGTACCTTCTTGAAGTACAGAGTCCGTGCATTAGCCTGCCACAGATCAGTTCTGCCACTTGGGATGTGTGTGGGGGTTGCCTGGCAGGAGGGGTTTCTCCTGGGTCCGTCAGCGCCTGGTGTCCCCTTGTGCTGCCCGGAGGTTCTGAGCCATGGCTGCCACCCGCTGTCCTGCACACAACCCTGGGCCTGCCTTTTCCTTCCCACCCCAGGGCAGTGTCTGCACCTGATCCTCTGTGATTCACATTGAAGTCCACAGGGTCCCAGGTTCAGGGGTGTGTGGAAATACGAAGCTATTGCACTAATTTATACCGTTAGGAAAGGAAGGAGGGGTCAGCCAAATAGCCAAGGAAACTTTGCCGTGTCCGGAGAGTGTGTGTTTTGTAGAGTCCAGTGAACAGCCAGAGTCTGGGGCAGGTTCTGACCCAGCACACAGTCTAGGGAGGTGCTAACAGGGCTTGTTCTGGGCTTCCGACGCTCACTTCAAGGGATTTCCACGCGCTGTGTTTTACGTGACTCGAGAGTTCGGCCGAACTAACAGCTCTGATGTTTGTGTCCTCTCTGTCCCCCTCAGAGAAGGCTGGTCAAGTCCCTAGAGGATCTCTGCTCACAGTATGACCTGACAGTTCGCAGCTCCACCGGGGACATCATCCAGTTCATCTACGGAGGGGATGGCTTAGACCCGGCAGCCATGGAGGGGAAGGACGAGCCCTTGGAGTTCAGAAGGGTCCTGGACAACATCAGAGTAAGGCCGCGCCTCGCGTTGGGGAGAGCCGCCAGGGCCCCCGTGGCGTCAGCACCCTGAACACTCCAGCACGCGCTCGGTGCAGAGAGTTTCTTCCTTGGGGGTTACCCTGTCTCACTCCAGCGAGTGCTGGTGGGATCCAGTGCTCCTCACAGGGGGCTTTGGTTTCTCTGCGTGTCTGGGGAAGCACCTGGTGACAGGCTGTGCCTGGAGGCTCACAGACGTTTCACATTCTTTATCAGGACATTAATTTGGAACAACCCTAAGCACATGGTTTGACAGCACTCTGCTAAATTTTGCTTTTCAGGCTATAGTGGCAAAGCTCAGGGCTACTCCTGGCTCAGTGCTCAGGGAACCAGGCAGCGGCCGAGACCAAACCAGGCCTCCAGCACGCTGGGCATCTGCATGAGCCTGTGGGGTCTCCTCCCATGCCCCCAGTCTGGAATTAAATGTGGGGGTCTTCGGGGCCCAAGCAATGGCGCAGCAGAGAGGGCGCTTGCCTTGCATGTGCCCGACCTGGCCTCACTCCCCGGCATTCCTCGTGGTTTCTGAGCACTGCCAGGTGTGACCTAGATAACTAATTAATTAAATAAATGGAGAGGCTCTTGACCCAACAGCTTCCAGTTGTCAGAATTTGCCCCGCAGAGATGCTTTAACTGTGTCAAGAATGTTTGTCAGTGTTGTTGATAGTGGGCAGTCAGAGTTGGCCCTGGGGGTGGGAGGTCTTACCTTAGGGTTACAGGCAGTGGGGAGGACCGGAGAGATAGTACAGTGGGTAAGGCGTTTGCCTTGCACACACCAGACCCAGGTTCAGTCTCCGACACCACATACTGTCCACCGAGGACCACTGGGTGTGACTCAGGCCCTTCCCAACCCCCCCCAAAAATTAGGGAAATCCCATGAACTTGGGGTGGCAGAGTATCTTCACTCTTGAAATGTTTGGGAGTTTATGATGTTGTTGTTGTTTTAGCTTTTTGGGTCACACCCACTGATGCTCAGGGGTTAGTACTGTCTCTGCATTCAGGAATTACTCCTGGCAGTGTTTGGGGACCATATGGGATGAAGGAGATTGAACCCGGGTTGGCCATGTACAAGGCAAATGCCCCACTTGCTGTACTACTGCCCGACCCATTTGGGAGTTTTTGAAAAACAGTGTGTATTTTGTGGCCCGAAGATATTACAACAGGGAGGTCATTTGCCTTGCACATGGCTAACCCAGGAGTGATCCCTCAGCTCAGAGCCAGGAGTAAGCCCCGAGCACTGCTTGGTGTGGCCCCAAACCCCCCAGTTTTTTAAAATTCCAATCCAAATGGAGTGAAAATTGGAACAGGACCCCCTGAGTTGCCCAGAAATCTTTGTACAAGACAGAATACCAGTTTTCCCTGGTATAGGTAAAGGTAAGGCCAGGATAGGGCCAGAGAGTCCAGGGAGTGAGGTACTTGCCCTGTACATGGTTGACCCTAGGTCAGCCCCTGGTACCACATGAGGCCTCCCAACTCTGTTGGGATGCATAGCTGGGTATAACCCAAAAACCAAATTGAAGTAAAATTTAGAGAAAAAAGATCCATCCCCAAGCTCGAGCAGTAGCACAGTGAGTAGGGCGTTTGCCTTGCACGTGGCTGACCCAGAGTCGATTCCGAGCATCCCATATGGTCCCCCAAGTACTGCCAAGAGTAATTCCTGAGTGCAGAGCCAGGAGTAACCCCCTGAGCATCTCTGGGTGTGATCCAAAAAGCAAAAAAAAGATCCATCCCCAAACCGTGGGGGGAGGGGCGTGTCCTGTCTCTCCCTGTCCTGCCTTTGCGGTGCTGACACTCACGTCTGCTCTCCTTCTCCACTCGAGGCAGTCTTTCCATGCCGGAGCGAGCCTGCGCTCAGTAAGAACGAGCTGACGCTCACCACCGAGTCCATCATGAGCAAGAGCGACTTCTTGTGCTGCCAGGAGAGTTTCCTGCAGGTAAGCGGGGCCCTGGCCCTGGCGGCCGCAGCAACACCAGAGATGGGCGGGATTTCCAGTGTTTCTTTGTTAAAAAATCCCCCAAAATCAAGGGCTGGAGTGGTAGTACCGTGGGTAGGATGCTTGCCTTGCACATGGCCAGCCCAGGCTTGATCCCCACACCCCGTGTGGTCCCTATGACTCCCGTGAGCACTTGTTGTGTCTCCATTCCCAGGAACACCCTGGGCTGCACTCAGGTCTCCTCGAGGGGCAAAGCGGACTTGCCCACCCCTGGGGTGTTCTCTCGGCCCGGCCCCAGGCCCACACTCAGAGTCTTCCTGGGGGGATCCCCTGGCTCACCCATTTCCCGTGCTCTCTCCAGCTTGCAGGAGACATTCTGTAACTCGGGAATAGAGAGTCCTGCAGCCAGGCTACTGGACGGGGCTTCATGGGGCTGCAGGAAGCTCTTGCTCTTGATGCAGCCCTGGGGAAAGGCGGGGGCGAGGGGGGAGGCCTCCTCATTCCTGCTTGTGCAGGGATGGGAGTTGGTGAGTTGCCGCCTCTCGCTTCGCTTCCCTGTGCCAACAAGGTGAGATTCAGAGTCAACCCCAGGGCCAGAAGGGTTCACGGCCACTCAGGTGGAGCCAGGCAGGAAGTAGTGGGTGTGCCAGCCCCCTCTGCCCCGAATGGTTCAGAGAAGAAAGGAAGCAGCAGCGGGCCCAGAAGCCGGGGACTGCCCTGCTGTGAAAAGCCAGGAGAGAGGAGCCCCTGGGCCTCACCAGCTCTGCTTCTCGCTCTGGGTTCAGGCTGCGTGAAAACATTGTTGCAGGATCAGAAAGATAGTACTGAGGAGGGCACTGGCCTTACACATGCAGCTGACCCATACGCTCTCGATCACTGCCAGGTGTGGCCCAAAAATGGAAGACAAAAGTTACAGCAGACAAAACATTGCTTAGGTGTTGTGAGCTCTCGGTACGACTGAGCACGTTTGAGCAGGGGCCTTTGACACCACCTCCTTGAGGCCCCTCACCTGCCTCCAAAACAAGAACGACAATCATGAGTGTCACCTTGAGGGTGAAGGCGAGATCACAGCGCGTGTTGGAGACGTGTGTTCACAGGCAGCATTATGCTTTTGCTTCAGCATTTGAAGTGATTAAAATAGTGGCTGAAGAAACGCTCAAAAACGAATCAGCCTCCCAGTGGAAACCGTGATACCTAACTGCCGAAGCATCGCTGGCTGCAAAGGCCCTGGAACATCTCAGGCAGGGCCTGGGGTGGCCAGGTCTGGCCCAGTCTGCTCTCGTGGGTTTCTTGGGAAAACATTTCGTAAAACAATTCGCATCTCCGCCGTGCCCACAGCCGGACATATTTATGGCTAATGCCTAGTAGGATGGGCTCCGGTTCCTAACTTTTCTAAAAAGAGAATCATGTCGTGCCAAATGATTGAGAAGCAATTCACCCAACTGTTTCACTGTACCATCTTTCAGGAGATTAAAAATTTCATTAAGGGGGTCTCTGAGAAGATCAAGAAGACCAGAGACAAGTACGGCATCAACGACAGCGGCACGACCGAGGTAACGGCAGACGCATGGTGGGACCGTGGCGTTTCCGGGCGTGGCCAGCCCTGACTCGGCTCATGGCATTTGTTCTTTCAGCCCCGAGTGCTGTACCAGTTGGACCGGATCACCCCCACCCAACTAGAGAAGTTTCTGGAGACCTGCAGAGACAAGTATATGAGGTGGGCACTCTCCTCGCCCAGGGCGGGAACCTTCCGTTTCCCACCTCTCTGTCAGGGTGCACAGTCCAGCATCTGCAACAGTACGGCAGGAAGGGCACTTGCCTTGCACGCAGCCTACCCAGGTTTGATCCTGGCACCGCCTGTTGTCCCCAGAGCCCTGCAGGAGTGATTCCTGAGCACAGAGCCAGGAGTAACCCCTGAGCACCTTCTGGTGTGGCAAAAAATAATAACAATAAAGAAGCGTCTGCTCGAGCACACACGTTTTTGCTTTCTTGCTTTCTGTTTTGTTTTTTGAAGCACAGCCAGAGGTGCACAGGGGCTGCCCCCAGCTGATGCTCGCACTCCCTGCGGACCAGGACTGGGCCCGGGTGGTGCCAGGGAGTCACGCCTTTGAGCCCTCCCCGCTCCAAGCACTTAGGTCTTTTTAGACAGCAGATTCTTGGGCCTAGCCATCACCCCTGGAACAATATCGGCAGTGTCCATTTTCTGCATCTGAATTTCTCCTGCCTCCCGTGCAGCTCAGGCAGCCACTCTGCACAGGGCTTGGCCTACCTCTGCAGACCCGATAATTCAGCATCAGGCCCAGTGGTGCTGGGGGCCAGCAGAGGCACCCAGTGGGCTCAGGTATCAGACCCAGAAAGCGTTGTGTCCCCTCGTCTGCACCTGCTGCAGGCCAGCCAGACCCTCGCTCTGCCACATGCACTGAACTGGGCCCCATCCCTGGCTCTGCCACACTGCCTGTCTGCCTCTCTGATACCTTCTTTTTCCTGACCCCAATAGTGTCTGGTTGGTTTGGTTTGCTCAGGGGCTGCTCATGGCTCTGTGCTCAGAGGTGACTTCAGGTGGTGCTCGGGGACTACAGAGCAGCTGTAGCTCTCCCATGAGAAGGGCATGACCCGGGCCCAGGTTAGTGGAGTGATTGTCTTTGTGTGTATGTGTGTATGTGTGTGTGTGTGTCCCCAAGTTCCGTCTCGGCACCCAGTGTGGCCCCAGCCAGAGACAAGCAGCCCATGGGCAGCACCTCGTGGCAGCCCCACTGGACCTGCGTCTCTGCCTTTTCTCCCCAGGGCCCAGATGGAGCCGGGTTCTGCAGTGGGGGCCCTCTGCGCCCAGAGCATTGGCGAGCCGGGCACGCAGATGACCCTGAAGACGTTCCACTTTGCAGGCGTGGCCTCCATGAATATCACGCTGGGGGTGCCCCGCATCAAGGAGATCATCAACGCTTCCAAAGCCATCAGGTACCCCACCTCCCCATCACCTTCCTGACCTGTGGTCCTCTTACGGCTGTAGCTTAAGCCCTGGGTGGCATGTCTCTGTCCATCAGACAAAGGTGGCAGGGAGGCATGCGCCCAGGGATCATACAGTGGCAGAGGGCTTCTGCGGCGGGCTTGGTGCCGTGAGTTTGACCCTCCACTCCTGTGGGCGTGGTGCAGTGGCGGCACCACCCTTCAGGAGTTCCCTGACCCCAGCAGAGCCTACAGCTCCCAGTGCTGGCCCCAGCAAGTGTGTGACGACAAAGCCCACCCATGGGACTGAATGCAGCCAAGCTCGAAGCAGCGGCCCTTGTGAGCAGGGCCACGTGGGCAAGGAGCCGAGGCCACAGGGGAAGGGGAGCAGTGTCGGTGGTATCCATCGGCGTGTGTGGTCCGGGGCCCTGTCTGCCACGCCCAGGGAGGATTTATGAGTGATTGAAACATTGGCCGGAGAGATGTACAGCAGGCTCAGTGTTTGTCTTGCACGTGCACGCAGCCACGCCAGGGTCCACCCCTGACAACCGCATGTGGTTCCCCGAACCCCTCCAGGAGGCATCTCTTGTGTGCATGAGTGCAGAGCCAGAGTCAGCCCTGAGCACTGCCAGGTGGGGCCCCCAGACAGAAGTAGCAGAGAGGAGATGGGTCCCACAGCATCTTCTCTTGAGTTGCTCACTCACGGGCAGAGTGGAAACCCACAGTTGTGCTGACCCCTCAGAGCCGGGAGTGCCCACTCCGATGCTGAGATCTGGCCCACTGCGACTCTCAGCAGCCCTTGGGCGTGCTGTCACGTGTACTCTGACGGGTTTCCCTCCCGCCCCTAGCACGCCCATCATCACCGCCCAGCTGGACAAGGACGACGACGCCGACTATGCTCGCCTGGTGAAAGGGAGAATCGAGAAAACCCTCCTCGGGGAGGTGAGCGAACCCCCGAGCATGGCCCCACTGCCGTGCACTATCTGAGGGGCCCTCTCCTCACCCGGAGATGGGTCGTCTCACCATCTCCACCTCGACAAGCAAATTTCGCTTTTATTTCCCTTGGGCCACACCCAGCAGCGGTTAGGACTTATGCCTGGCTCCCTGCTCAAGGGTCACTTGCAGAGGGCTTAGGGATCCTATGGGATGTCAGGGATCAAACCCGCATTGGCTGTAAGCAGGGCCTGCTGCACTGTTGCTCCAGCCCTGACAAGCCCATTTCTCTCTTGAACATGTAACACTCTCATTCTCACTGTACAAAAAATATAGGGGTTAAGGTACTTGCCTTGCATGTCGCCAACCAAGGGTTGGTCCCCCTTGCCCCATACTCTCTCGCAAATATCCCCAGGACTGGTCCTTGAGCACAGAGCCAGGAATAAGCCCTGACCACGGCCAGATGGGTCTCCCTCCCACAGGAATAAAATCTTCATTTAAAATAATGACGGTACGGGGCTGGAGCAATAGCACAGCAGGTAGGGCGCTTGCCTTGCACGCAGCCAACCCGGGTTCGATTCCCAGCATCCCATATGGTCCCCTGAGCACCGCCAGGGGTAATTCCTGAGCGCAGAGCCAGGAGTAACCCCTGTGCATGGCCGGGTGTGACCCAAAAAGCAAAAAAGTTAAAATAAAAAAATAAAATAATGACATTACGGAAAGACAGAGTGGGGACTGGGAGAGAGACTCCGTGGTCGAGAACACCCACACGTGTGCGAGGCCTCGGGTCCACTCCCCAGCACTGCAGGGGCGCTGGAGGTAGCCATGCACCCACAGGGAGCGGTGGGTCACACCCTTGTCTTTGACATGGCAGATTTCAGAGTACATTGAAGAAGTGTTTCTTCCCGACGACTGCTTCATCCTTGTCAAGCTCTCGCTGGAACGGATCAGACTGCTAAGGCTAGAGGTGAGTCCCGCGACCCCTCTGCGGAAATAGTCATCTTCTGCCAGGCTGAGGGGCGTCTCTAGGAACCCTGGGTGGGTGCTTGGCGAGGCGCGAGGCAGAAGGCCCACACAGGCTTCATCTGCCATGGGGACGGCCATTGAGCCTTCACATTCTCTCTCCAGGCCTTATCCAACACAGGAGTTAACAGCCGTAGCTTCACAGGAAGCTAGTTGTAATTCTGCACAGGCCACACTGCCTGTTGTGGCAAATTAGTACAAGAATCGGGTCCAAGGGCCAGAGTGATAGCACATCTCAATGGGCACTTGTTTTGCATGTGGCAGACCTGGGTTCAGTCCCCAGCGTCCCACTTGGTACATGGTCCTCCAAGCCCTCTCGGAAATACTGAGCACAGAGCCAGGAGTAACCTCTGAGCATGGCCGAGTGTGACCCAATAACCAAAAAAGAGAATTGGGTCTGGCTGGGCTCTAGGGCCAAGTGCGTGTAACTGGTCCATGGACCTCTATGGTCATAGCGTTCATGGATAGTGAGCACTGGGCAAGAGTGCCAACCCACTGCTGGACACTTCACGTCACCCCCAGCCCCAACGCAGCCCCCAGTCCCTTCCCCTTGTGCCGTCTCCTGAGTCTTGTGACGGCTGACTTACGAACCGCACAGCCCTTCTCCCACTGGGGTCTTTCTGCCACTTCCCATGTGGCTCTTTTCCCTACGGAGCCGAGCACCAGCGGCTGTGGTGAGCAGGGTGCTGACAGGGAGGCTTCCCTTCTACCCCGTTCCCCAGCTCCCCTCAAGCCTGCGCAAGTGACCGCAATAGATACCGTGTTCCACAGGGGCAGAAAGTGGTCTGGGCATGGGGAGGGGCTGGGCATCCATCAGGAATCCACCAGGAATAGAGGAGCACCATCTCATGGGCCCCGGCCTGCCCAACACCCGCATCCCTCGGCAGGTGAACGCCGAGACGGTGCGCTACTCCATCTGCATGTCCAAGCTGCGGGTGAAGCCGGGTGACGTGGCCGTCCATGGGGAGGCCGTGGTGTGCGTCACTCCCAGGGAGAACAGCAAGAGCTCCATGTACTACGTGCTGCAGTTCCTGAAGGAGGATCTCCCCAAGGTGGGCAAGGGCCCCTCCCTCCCCGGCCCTCCACGCCCTGCTGCCCAGCGCCTGAGCCTGTGTCTCTGCCCAGGTGGTGGTGCAGGGGATCCCCGAGGTGTCCCGGGCCGTCATCCACATCGACGAGCAGAGTGGGAAGGAGAAGTACAAGCTCCTGGTGGAAGGCGACAACCTCCGGGCCGTCATGGCCACCCATGGCGTGAAGGGCACCCGCACCACCTCCAACAACACCTACGAGGTCTGCTCTACCCCCTCACCCCCTCCCCCTCCCCCAGGGAACACTGCCTCCTGGGAGCTCTTCCTCACGCGCGTGTCCGCAGGTGGAGAAGACCCTGGGCATCGAGGCCGCCCGTACCACCATCATCAATGAGATCCAGTACACGATGGTCAACCACGGCATGAGCATCGACAGGAGGCACGTGATGCTGCTCTCGGACCTGATGACCTACAAGGTGAGTGGGCCTGGGACTGGGGAAGCTCCAAGCGGAGCAGAAGCCCAGTAAAATAAGAGCTCAGAGATTCCTGTGCTGACCAGTTTATTCAGGGGCTGGAGCGAGGCTGTCGTGGAGGGCACTGGCCTTACACGGGTCCCAGGTTGAGCTCCTCATCCTATATGCCAAACACCACCAGGAATGAGCCCTAAGCCCAGAGCCAGGAGTGAACTCTGAGTGCAGAGTCGGGAGCAATACCTAAACATCGCTGGGTGTGGTCCCCCGCGGGAAAAAAAAAACACAAAAGGCCACCAGAGGGCCCTCCAGGCTGTGCTTGGGGTGAGCCCTGAGTCGTGGGCAGGGAGACTTGACCTGAAGCTACCCAGCTCAACAGTGCTGGGCCGCCACCCACTGTATCCCCTTCGGTGTGACTGAGACTGGAGTTGGGTTTCCGAGAGTTCAGGTCTCTACCCAGAGACGTATTCTTGTTGGTTGGGGGGTTTTGTTATCTGGGCCCTCACTTGGCGGGACTCATGGAACAGTGTGGGGTGCCGGGGATCAAACCAGCTCAGTCGTATGCAAGACAAGTGCTCTTCCTACTGTACTGTTACTGTTCAGACCCTGGAATTCTCATGTGTGTTTGGGACACATATGGCAGTGCTCAGGGATCACTCTTGGCAAGCTGGGGGACCTAATGGAGTACCAGGGATCAAACCTGTGTCTACCACAGTGAGGCAAGCATCCTACCCACTGTAGTGTTGCTCTGGCCCACAGAATTCCCCATCTCAGTTTTTCATTGCAACAGCCCCTGGCCCTGAGTGGACCGGTCTGTGTCCTCAGTGACTCGGGACAGACAGCTGTGGCTCTCGTGTCCAACGAAGGGTGAAACCACCTTACTTAAACAGTTGTGTGGCTGTTGTTTTGCTCACGATGTGGAGAGTGTGGTGAGCCCCACTGAGCTGACCCCTGCCCCTGCAGGGTGAGGTCCTGGGCATCACACGCTTCGGCCTGGCCAAGATGAAGGAGAGTGTGCTGATGCTGGCATCCTTCGAGAAGACCGCCGACCACCTGTTCGACGCGGCCTACTTCGGGCAGAAGGACCCCGTGTGTGGTAGGTTCCCGCCTTGTGTTCACAGCTGGCCCAATTGAGCTCCAGCTCCAGGAAGGCCTGGGGTGAGCGGGGCTTTGGAGGGGCCCTCAAAGCAGTGCTTGGGGCCTCTGGGGCCACTCCTGGCCACATTCAGCCAGCCAGGCCAGGCGTGACTGTGCTCAGGTTCAGTGGGCCGGGTCTGTTAGTGGCGGGGTGGGGCTCTGACCCTGAGCTCTTGCCAGCCGCAGCAGTTTGGCCATTTGTTTGTTAAGCATCAAGGTGAGCCAGAGAGCTGAAGTCCTGAGTTGGATCCCTGACATTATGGGGTCCCCCAGCGCAGACACACACACACACACACACACACATAGGCACCGACACACACACCCCAACACACAGACACTGACACACACACACAGCATACAGTATACAGACACTTATACACACATACAGACACACACTGGCAATGACACACAGACACTGACACACACTGACATGTGCACACACGCATGCACGCAATATGCAGATACACACTGACAATCACGCACACCGACACAAACACTGACGGGCACACATGCATACACTGACACACACATCCTGACATACACACATGCACACAGCACATACGCATGCACACACAGAACAGCAGGTCACAGGACAAGGGCTGGCGGGTCACTGGGTCATTAGAGTCAGAGCTTGCCGTCCAGCGTCACTGCCTCCACCTGTTACAGTGGTTTGGGGTCCAAGAAGAAAAAGCACTAGGGGTGTCCTTGGGGGCCGTGCGCTGATCAGGGCACCCTCTGCGCTGTACCCGACTCTCCTGGTACTGAAACCCCTGCTAGAGGCTCCTGCTCTGCCAGCACCGCCGGGCTCTGCCAGGGAGAACGGAGCCTGGGAACAAGAGATGGGAACAGGGCCCGAGGGGACGGGAGAGGGGCAGGACCGAGGAGACGGGAGGGGAGCAGGACCGAGGAGACGGGAGGGGAGCAGGAGACCAAGCTGCTGGCAAACCTGGGGCTTCCAGAACATCGTTTGGGATCCGTGCAGAGATGAGCCGACGGGCTCCGAGTCCCCCGGGCTGGGCCTTTGTCCCCGTCAGCCACAGCGCAGCCAGCAGACATGGGCAGAAACCCCCTCTGGGTGTGTGCTGAGCACCCTCTGATCTCTGCCGCTTGCTTCCAGGGGTGTCCGAGTGCATCATCATGGGCATCCCCATGAACATCGGGACCGGGCTCTTCAAGCTGCTGCACAAGGCCAACAGGGACCCAAACCCTCCCCGGAGGCCCCTCATCTTCGACACAAACGAATTCCACATCCCCCTGGTCACGTAGTCCGGGAGGACACGATCGCCCCTCGGCTCCTTCCCCATCGGGCACGGGGCCCAGGCCAACTGTGGGGGCTGTTGAGGGGCTGGGGGCCTCGTGTCCTGCATGCCGGGGAAAGCTGGGGCACATCCGGCTCCGGCTCAGCACTTCCTGCCTCCCTCCCTGACTTAGAGGCCTGGTCACCTTTTGTCCTTTGTCCTTCGCACTCGCCTGCCCATCCCGAGCTGGCACAGTCCTGGTTTCTGTTCGCCAGGCAGCCCGGGAGCCAGAGTGACATGCCACGGTGGTCATTGACGTCTGATATTTATCTGTTCCCTGTGAAGAGTTTAGAGTGGTCTGGGTTTAGCTGTGAGAACCCGCGCGATGTGGCTGGCTGAGTGTCGCCTGCGGAAGCCCGCCACCCCATCGCCTCCTCACAGCCGCCTCCGATGGGGACCTTCCTGCGGGCACCGACGGGCACCTCCACACACACTCACCCCCAGGCCGGCTGTGGCTGTGCCAGCGTCTCCAGACTAACCAGGGCCTGGAGCGTGGCAGAGGTGGGCACAGGGAAGGGGAGTCCCTGCGAGCGGCCAAGTCCCGAGTGATGGCACCGGTAGCGGGCACTGCGTCAGGGCAGTCACAGCCCTTTGAGCCACTCCCCAGCGGTGGTTTAGGTGAATAAGAAAAATGCCGGGGGAGGTGGGGAGGGACCCTGGCTCTGGCCCCGCGCTCAGGCTGTGGTGCCAGGTACTGAACCTCAGTGGGCCACATGCAAGACAGGCGTGCGCCAGCCCCAGTTTCATTGGGTTTTTAGTTTTGTTTTGAGTTGGGAGACAGCGAATTCTGGCCATCTCTCAAGTTACACTGACATTCTTTGAACTTCCCTTGCCATGTCCCGGTTCTGAGTTCATGCTGCTAAGGTGCTCAGTGTAGCTGTTTGTTCTCGGGTGGGGGGAGGGCGGGGGGTTGTATTCTCGGGCAACCGTGTCCCCAGGCAGCTGGTCCCTGCATCTCTGCGAGCCCCGAGCTGCTTCCCCATACCGGTGGGACCCTGAGTCAGCACTCTGCTTGCCTGGCCACTGGGCCAGTGCTCGGGTCAAGAACGACTTCAGTTTACCCGTGGCAGCCAAAGAGGTTGTACAGGGGTGAGACCCTTGCCTGGAGTAGGACCAACCCATGTTAAGTCCCTGTCACCACCTGGTTCCACCAAGGTGACCTGAAAACGAGATTGTCATCTGGTCATGTGGCCTCCTTGCAGCCACGTTGGCGCACAGCCTTCTTGGGGACACCGTGCCGTGACAAGAAGCCACTGCTCCACGCTCAGCCTGCCACCTTCATCCTTGCACCGCTGGGCCTGGTTGGGGACAGGCTGGGGTCTGGTGACATCCATCAGTGGCGTTGCCACTGGGCAGCACCACAGTGACCTTGGAACTGTGCCCGGCAGGGCTGCCCAGTGCATTCCATGGCCAGTGTTCACCCCCTATGCAGCCAATGCATCGGACACCAGACCCGTGGGCCAGCCCAGAGTTTCCCAGGAGGGACGGAAGGTTGCTCTTGCCTGTGGGGAAGAAATAAAACTTGAAAGTTCTGCCTCATCTTTTAACCGATAGCGTTTCCGACCACAGGCTCTCGGCTTCCGCCCTCCACCAGCTTTCATACGAAGGTGGTTAGAATGACAGCTGGCGCCTTCACAACCCTGTAAAGGTGTCTGTTCAGGGCTATGGGAGAGGGAGAAAGTTCTGGAAGCTCCGGTGCCAGTGACTTGATGTCTGAGCCCCCTGCTTCCAGTCCAGCGCTGTGCTGACTCGTTGCTCTTGGTCTGTTTCTCACGAATTTTCATTGCCTCGTTCTTTTCCCACCACAGCTCGTAAAGGGGGAAAACTTCCTCTGCATGAAACTGTGGCACTTCGTTCCTGCAGACTGTGCGTGGTAAAGAGGCCACGTGTGGGCACTACTAAAGCCCTGCCAGTCCCCACTCCATCCTGCCTGGCCAGATCAGGTCCCAGCTTACTTGTTTTTATCCGTTCAACAAGGAAGGGCTGTGCCGGGCACCGCCAGGGCTCTCAACCATCATGGACAGCCACATCTGTGCTGGTCCGTTTAAAAACACGCCACGGAGCAGCTGGAGATGGTACAGGGGCTCGGGCTAGGCGGAGCAGAAAGGGTCTTGATCAAACTTGGCACAAGTAAGCGTCCAGTACTGTCCAGGGTCAGAGGTGCCTGGCTCTGGGCACTGATACACATCAGGTCTCACTGGGGCTGGGGAGACAGTCTGAGGGTTAAGGTGCTTAACCCTCACCTTAAGCGACACGGGACAACCCTGAGGCCTGACACAGGAGGGCAGGCTTCCCCTCTAGCCAACAGTCCCCTGTCTGGACCTTTCTCCCTGATGAGCCTTCCCTGAAGCTGAGTCTTGAAAGTGAGTGATCCTGCATCACTGAGAGGCCACAGACTCTGAGCATTTCCGGTTGGTTGTCGGTTTCAGCCACACCAGCAGTGCTCAGGGAGCCAACCTGGGTCTGCTGCGTGCACGGCAAATGCCTCCCCCTTGTACTATTGCTCGGGCCACAGACTTAACTTCTGCCAGTCCCAGCAGGCCTGATTATGAGCTGCGTCCTGGCAGTGCCAGGACCATGCATTGTGGGGCCGATCCCGGGGCTCCACACCTGCCACCCACACGTCAGCCCTTTGAGCCATCTCCTGACTCTTCACTTTTTTGTCTTTTTACATTTTTTATTGTTGAACCTTTTAAAAAAAACATTTTTTATTAACTCGCCATGAGACAGCATTACAAAGCTGTTCGTGATTGGGTTTCAGTCATTGTGTTCTAACACCCTCCCTCCACCAGTGTAATTTCCCAGCACCAGTGTCCCCAGTTTCTCACCCCCAGAGCACCACCCTCCTCAGCCCGCCCCTATGGCAGGCTGCTCTCTTCTGTTTCTCTTTCTCATGTTGGGCATTATGGTTTGCCATACAGATGCTGAAAGTAGGTATATCCCTTACCTACTTTCAACACTTAGTGCTTGTCCAGAGTGGTCATTTCCAACTAATGTCATAAGGGGCCCTCCTCCACCCCCCACGCCCTTGTCATTTCCAATCATTGACCAATCTTTCTTGTCTTTAAAAAAACAAATTTTGGTTTAGGGTCACACCTGGTAGTGTTCGGGGCTTCCTCCTGGCTGTGTTCAGGAGTCACCCCGTGGTGCTCAGGGCCATCTGAGGTGCCGGGGATCAAACTGGTGTGTCTGTCAGGCAGCACTGCACACAATAATGTGCCTGCTACACCACATCACCCCCACCCACTGCCTCTCTTTAAAGAAAATAAAGTGGAGCTAGAGAGATAGTAGGGAGCTTGTCTTGCATGCAGAAAACTAGGTTCGATTCCCAGCACCCCATGTGAGTCCCCGAGCCCCGCCAGGAGTGATCCCTGAGTGCAGGGTCCTGACTCAGTCAGCCCTGAGCACCACTCAGTGTGGACCAAAAGCTATTTTTGAAAAAGGCTGTACTGTGAGTGATCTGAAGGGACTGGGCCTTTCCAGTCCTAGAAATAAAGATGGGAGAGCCCCTGGGTAATCAGGGGATTGGGGATATTGTCACCAGTCAGGACAAGCTTAAGAAAAAATGTTTTTTGTTTGGAGGCCACATCAGGCAGTGCTCAGGGATCACTCCTAGAGGGGCCTGGAGTACCATATGGGATGCCAGAGTCCAACGCAGGTCAGCTACATGCAAGGCAAGCACCCTATCCACTCTATTGTTCTGGCCCCTGGGTTGTGACAGAATTCATTCGGGCCAGAAAGCGTACAGGATATAAGCCAAAGTGAATTTGATCCCTGGCACTGCACCCCAGTCACTACCAGGAGTAAATCTCTAAGCACAGCCAGGAATAAGAGCACCGCCAGGTGTGGCCCAAACTAAAATTAGTCACACGGCTTTCAGAATGTCCCTGGGCTGTTGAAAATATAAGCTCAAACTTTGGGCGAAAGTCATTTTATTGTTCACCTACTTCATCCTGGGCCCCTCCCCAGACACTGGGTGCTGAGTGGTGAGCACAAAGTCCACTAACCTTATGCAGGAATCGATGCACAGAAACATGTGATGTGTCACACGTCATCTTAAATTTCCTGATATCAGCATGGGAAAGAAAGGGCGGATTTAATTTTAACCACATACTGAACTCTCCATGTAGGAAACATTTCAGTGTGTGCTCCATATAAAAATGAGACCTGCTTTTTCAGTACTACTCAAAATCCAGTGTATACTTTTCACTTAGCTGGTTTTTTTTTTCTTTTGGTTTTTGGGCCACACCCAACAGTGCTCGGGCTTTTATTCCTGGCTTTGCAGTCAGGAATTCTGGTGGGGGTCAGGGATGGAACCTGAGTCAGTCAGCCGCCTGCAAGGCAAGAGCCGTCCCTGCTATGCTCCATCTCTCCAGCCCTTCGCCATACTTTTCAAGTGCAAGAGCCCCGGGTGGCTCATCACTTAATGCTCAGCCTGGAAAGCACCACCTGGGATGACGCAGGAAATGTGGCCAGCCTGCTGCAGAACAGGGCAGAGTGGTGGCAAGTGGGGACAACAGCTTTGAACTCTGAGAACTCTCTGGGGCTGATGCCTGAGCAGACAGATCAAAGCTGACAAAACAAAAGGGCAGAGGAGCATCAGGGGCATTCCGGGATCCCTCCAGGAATGTTCAGCCAGTTAGCTGAGCCCTTGCCGTCTGTCCCTCCCCAGTGCCAAAGGTGCCCACCTGCTCCCCAGGGGCTGTCCAATGGACACCTTGCAGGACTTGGCACGGCCATGTGCTGCTGGTTCTCCCTTGAGCTCGTACTCGAGACTGAATGTCGATCACAATATTCCTTCAATATATTGGGGAAACTGGCCAGGGACCATTTGGACCTGAATCTGGCCCCATTCCCGGGGCCCACTTGAAAGTAAGAAATCCACACTGAGAGCGGGCAGACAGCTGAGGGAGGGTGAGGGGGTGGGTTCCATTGCCCCGCAGGAAGGCCGTTTGTTTAGTATTGGGGCCACATCGGGCAGTGTTCAGGCCTTACTCCTGGCTCAGGGATCATTCTTGGGGGGCTCATGGGGTGGGGTG